TTTTTTTTTTTTTTTAATTCCCTAGCTTTTTCTTTGATCTGGTGGATGTTGGCAATTTGATCTCAGGTACCTCTGGCTTTTCTAAATCTAATGTGAACACCTGGGAGCTCTTGGTTCCCATACTTCTGAAGCCTATTTTGAAGGATATTGAGCATAATTTTGTTAGTTACAGCATGAAGGTAATGGCTTGCCTGATGGCTCAGATGGCACAGAATCCACCAGCAGTGCAGGAGACCCAGGTTCTATCCCTAGGTTGGGGAGATCCTCTGGAGAAGAGACTAGCCACTCCAGTATCCTTGCCTGGAGAATCTCATGATCAAAGGAGCCTTGTGGTCTACAGTCCGTGGGGGTCACAAAGAGTCGGGCATGACTGACTAGCTAAGCACAGCATACACAGTGGATCGCACAGGGAAATCTACTCAGTATCCTGTAATGACCTGTAAGGGAAAATAATCTACGAAAGAGGGGGTATATAATATGTATGTGTATAACTGATTCATTTTGCTGTACCCATGCAACTAACACAAAACTCTATATCAACCATGCTCCAACAAAAAGCATAGCTTAAAAAAAGAAAAATACTTCAGTATGGAAAGCATCAAATTTATATTAAAAAAACACCATTTTTTCACATATAAACCTAGGCTTTTTTAGCATAATATTCAAGAGAATACATTGAGTGCTGGAATATCTCACAGGTAGCTTTTTTTGAGACTACACCAAAAAAAAAAAAAAAAACACTTTAAAAACCCATTCTAAATTATACTATGCATTTTCTTATCTTCTAAGCAAAGTGCCCTGAATATAATTATATCTCTTTGTTGATGGCTTTAGAGGCACTACAAGAGCATAGTTATGTCCAGGGCTATGTGCAGTGTGGGGCTGTTTCTTACTATATTAAGTGGTCTCAACATGGTGGGGCTTTTAGTCTGATTTCTACAACTTTTCAGTCCTCCTCAGTCATCTGTCAGCAGTGTGGATGCTGGTTTTCTCTAAGTCCTGCAAGAGCTTTGACTGACTTTTGACTCCATGCAAGGCTTGTAAAAACTGTGTGTAAAATAAGAGTCAGCAATCTGAGAGAGGACTTCAGCACTCTAGTGTGAGTGTATAGACCTTTATGTGGCACTTGTTTGGCTACCCAGAGGGTGTTTCACTGTCCTTAAACCTTACACTGGAAAAGACCCTGATGCTGGGAAAGATTGAAAGCGGGAGAAGAGGGTGGCAGAGGGAAGCCTGGCATGCTGCTGTCCATGGGGTCGCAAAGAGTTGGCCACCACTTAGCGACTCACCATCACCACCACCACCAACATACCTTACATTTGTGTGATGTGAAATTAGCAAAGGAGATCCCCTCTGCCTTTCTATGGACCCTTCTCCCTGCTTCTCCCAGAAACGTCTCCATCTACCTCTCCATGAGTCAGCATTTTTAACCATTTCTCTCCATTCCCACCTTCTTGGGTGATTTGTAGACTCTTAGAGAAGGACCTAGTCCTTCCTGCACCCTTGCTCTCTCCCCCTGTGCTGGCTGGGATGAGGCTCATGACAGGAATCCTTGGATGCTCTGTGGATGCTCAGGGCCTTGGACGTCCTCTCTCATGTTCAGCTTCCTCTGGGCTCGGAAAACAGTGGGGGAGGGGCAGGCCCCCCATCCCTGAAAGAGGCCTTCCCATGTTTGAAGATGTCCAAACACCCCAGACCCTCCCCCATTTCCTGCAGATGCAGTCTCTCTCTCGAGCTGGGGCTGTTTGGGTGGCGGCCTGACTGTTGCTGGCAGTTCAGTCACTAAGTCATGTCCAACTCTTTGCAGCTCCATGGACTGTACCCCACCAGGCTCCTCTCTCCATAGGTTCTCCAGGCAAGAATACTGGAGTGGGCTGCCACGCCCCTCCTCCAGGGTATCTTCCTGACCCAGGGATCGAACCTGGGTCTCCTGCATTGCAGGCAGTCTCCTGCATGGCAGGCGAATTCTTTACCAACTCGACCACCAGAGAAGCCCTATTGCCTGTTGCCAGCCTTCTGGACCTCACTGTGAAGTGGCAGGATGACCACCTGCACAGTCAGGGGCATCTGAGGCCAGCTGGTCAGGGGCCGAGCAAGGCAGGCTGCAGGGGGCACTGCTGACAATGGCCTGTGCCAGTTAGTGGTTCAGGGCCCCCCAGACAGGAGGGCAATCAAAACGAAGAAGTGGGAAAGGAGAAGAGAATTCTCAAAGATGGATGAAAGTATGGTTCCATCAATTTGTAGGGTTTGGTGCTTTGGAAGACCTGGGCGCCCAAGGGCCCCCCTCTCTCCATTTCCAGTGTCCTTCCTTAAGCAGGGTGATCTCATGGCTTACTAACCAGCTGCTCGGTGGGAAAGCCCTTTCTTTGTATATGTATTGTTAAATATTTATTTGTTTGTCCACACTGGATCTTAGTTGTGGCATGCGGGATCTAGTACCCTGACCAGGGGTTGAACCCGGCCCCCTGCATTGGGAGCATAGAGTCATAGCCCCTGGACCACCAGGGAAGTCCATGGAAAGTCCTTTATTCCCCCTGCTCCCCTGACCCTCAGCTCCACGGCCAGGGACAAAGGACAAGGGGAGTGGAGAACAGAGGACCCCCCAGCCACGCCCCCTGAACAAGGGATGTGTGAGGATGAGGGGCCCACTCAGGCCTCAACCCCGACAGCTGTGCTTTATACATGGACTTTTTGTTTTTATAATTGAGGACAGAGCAGAGATAAGACTCAGACGCTTGGGTTCTGATCCTGATTCTGTCCCTCTCTGGGCCTCAGTCCCCCTGAGTCAAGGACAGTCATACCTTGCTGGGTTATGGCGGAGTGGGCAGGGGTCTGCACAGTACCCCAGGGCTTCAGGAACTCAGCCTCTCGGGGCCTCAGTGTTCCTGTCTGAAAATGGGAATGATTACAGCTCCTGGCTTCTGGAATTGTTGCGGGTGGGGGTAAGGGTCGCTGAAGTGATCCACATACACTTTCAGGGCAGTCTAGGGACAACGGAAACCCTCCCCAGAGTGGCAGCTATTATTACTCTTTGAAGAGACAGACGTCCTGCCGTTTAGAGGTTAACTGCTAGGGGATCCTGTGGGGGTCCAGCAGTTGGGACTCTGTGCTCTCACTGCTTCGGGCCTGGGTTCAATCCCTGGTTGGGGAACTAAGATCTGACAAACCATCTGAGTGGCCAAAAAAAAATTTTTTTTAATTTAAATAGTAAATAAAGGTTAACTGCTAAATGTGAGGAAGTCTTTCGAGGCCCACAATGTCCCCGTGAGATGGCTTGGTAAACCTGCCTCCAGACTGAAGGGCCGTGTGAGGGCTGCAGTCATGGACTCCACAGTTGGGTAGACTCACATCTCGCGGACCCTGGAGCTGATGCAATGAGGGACCATTTTTAAGAATGAGAATATAAAATGATCATGGGACACAGTCCGAGGCCTTCCCCAGGCCCTTGCAAAGGGCCTATACAGTGGGGAGCCTCCAGCTAAAGGTCCATAAGCCTCAGTGGTCAGTCCCTCTGGGCTCACTGGTAACAGAGCCAAACCTTGACCCAGACTCAGGACTTCCCAACTGCTCCGTCTCAGCAAAGACCAGGCCATCTGGGCAGGCACCAACTGCCCTTCTCACTTGCCCTTCGCAGCTTCCCTGCCTCTCCAGCTACATCAAGTTCAGAGTCTTGGACTGGTGAGCAACTGGGTGGAGGCTGGGAAAAACCACAGGCAGGAGGACATCAGACCCGGGCTGGGGGCCCCACCTGCAGGCTGTGCTTCTCTCCAGCCCCAGGAACAAGTGCAGTGATGAGATTGGGACGGTCAGCCTGTCGCTCAACCAGATCTCATCCACTGGAGCCGAGATAGAAGGCAAGCGAGCCCCCCGTGCCCTGCCTCCTGCCCCTCTCCCACCCGAACCCGCCCTCTCTCACCCCTTTCTCCTTGCAGGAATGTACTCCGGCTTCCTACCCTGCTTTGGCCCCAGCTTCTTGACTCTCCGTGGGGGTAAAAAGGCCCCTTTCAGGATGAAGGAAGAAGACCCTGTAAGCTTCTCATGTCAGCTGTAGGGAATATTGGAGGTGAAATCAACCGTGTGTCAGGCACCAGGGCCTGGGAGATGCCTGGGGAGGGCCAGGCCCTGGTTTCTGTCCATGACACTCCACTAGAGGACTTGAAGCCTGCACACAGAGGGCCACATAAGCCAAGGGCCTGTGCCTGTGACCCAAGAAAGGAGCAGATGGAGTGCTCTGGGCATTCACTAAGGAAGGGGCACTGAGATGAGGCCTCAGGTAAGAGATTTGGCAGGTGGAAAGGTCATGGGCAGCAAAAGAACCAGCACAGGTAAATGTGGAAAAGCACTGGGTTATTAACACTGGTGATAAGGGGCGGGAGGGGGGGGGGCGGGATGGATTGGGATTTTGAGATTCATGTATATACACTACCATGTATGAGATAGGTAGCTAATGAGACCCTACTATACAGCACAGGGAACTCTATCCAGTGCTTTGTGGTGACCTAAATGGGGAGGAAATCCAAAACAGAGGGGATGTATAGTTTGCCTATAGCAGAAACGAACACAATATTGTAAAGTAACCACTCTCCAGTAAAAATTTAAAAAAAGAGAGAGAGTGGATGGCAGTAAACACCAGAAAGTCAATTGGTAAAAGAAGAGAATGGGGCTGGGAAGGCCTCTGAGTGAGGAAGAGCCTCAGAAACCAGGACCTCAATGCCTTTAGGAGCCTCTCCCACATCTCTGCTGCTCTTTCCTAGGCCTCATTCATTTCTACCACAGTCTGGCCTCCCTGATGGGAACAGGGCCGTGGTAGCCTCTAATTGGGAAGGCCAAGGAAGCATTCTAATTGGCCTTCCTAGGTCATGTGTGCTCCCCTTGGGCCAATCACTGTTGCCAAGGGGGCAGGGCCTGTCCTGATTGGCCAGCCTGGGATAATTTAACAGTAACCACAGTCCCCTCCAAGCAGAAAGGGTTTACAGGAACAGGGTATTTTTGGTGGGCCTAGAGATAGAATGAATGAAGAGGAAGAGGAGGCCTCAGGTGTGGAAGAAGGCTCAGGGCCTAGAGGTTTCCAGGCATGGCCATGACTGGAGTTTCTGAAATTCCTCCCTGGGACTGTGGTCAGCCCAAGGCAGAAAGTTACAGAACAACCCTGTATTTGCTACAGAGGTTTCAGGAAAGACTTTTCCTGCTTTTTTCTCTCATTCCTTTTCCTACTGTTTTCCTTCCTATTACCCTAGAATATTCCCAACATTGTCAAGGATGGTTTAGCTTATCGAGGCCGGGTCTTCCTGGAGTTGATCACCCATGTCAAATCCCATCAAGAAGCTAAGATGAAGGATCTCTCCCTAGATGTGATCAGCGTAGAGGTAACCACAAGAGACAGGTCACCCAGGAATAAAGACCCCTCCTGCCTGCCTCTAGTCTCCTATGGGTCCCATCTCTGACATTGCAAGAAGCCCTTGGTCAGGAGTGGAATGTGCTTTATGGATGTGTGGGATGTTTCCTCAATCCAGCTGAGTCTTTTTTTTTAAAGAATTTTTTGATGTGGACCATTTTTAAAGGGTTTATTGAATTTGTATAATATTACTTCTGTTTTATATTTTTATTTTTTGGCTACAAGGCATGTGGGATCTTAGCTCCCGCTCAGGGGTTGAACCCACACCCCCTGCACTGGAAGGTGAGGTTTTAACCACTGGACCACCAGGGAAGTCCCTCCACCTGAGTCTTTACTAAGCCCCAGTGGGGGCTTCCTGCTGTGCCAAATCCCAGGAGGTCAAGGGACCCAGTAAAGAAAAGGTTTAGATTTAAGAGATATGCAAGGAGAAATTAAGAGATATTAAGGAGAAATGATGTTCTAAGGAGTCTGCATTTCTTCCTGAAGGCCAAGGAGGACGACTGAGGCAGGAAAGGACAGGAGAAGCCATGTCAGAAATAGATTTGTTGTTGTTCAGTTGCTAAGTTGTATCTGATTCTTTGTGACCCCGTGAACTGCAGCATGCCAGGCTTCCCTGTCCTTCAATATCTTCCAGAGTTTGCTCAGACTCATGTCCATTGAATCGGTGTTGCCACCCAGCCATCTCATCCTCTGTCACCCCGTTCTCCTCCTGCCCTCAGTCTTTCCCAGCATCAGCATCTTTTCCAGTGAGCTGGCTCTCCCCATCAGGTGGCCAAAGTGTTGGAGCTTCAGCTTTAGCATCAGTCCTTTCAATGAATATTCAGGGTTGATTTCCTTTAGAATTGACGGATCTGATCTCCTTGTAGTCCAAGAGACTCTCGAGAATCTTCTCCAGCACCACATTTCGAAAGCCTCAGTTCTTTGGAGCTCAACCTTGTTCATGGTCCAATTCTCACATCTGTACATGACTACTGGAAAAACCATAGCTTTAAATGGAAGTAAAATTGGGCCATCCACTTACTCAGGAGAAATGGGGACATAGTCACAGGCGAGGAGAGCTGGAGAGGAGAGAGCAGTCACCAGAGACCCTTTGGAAACAATGATCAAAGTCACTGACCAACAGGACAAAAGAAGTGAGGCTGACTCTCATCTTCTGCCTCAGGTGGGGAGGTGGGGAGGTGGGGTCAGACATCAACATGGGCTCCCTGAAGGAAGAACAGGTCTGGGGAGATGATTGTGAACTTAAACAAAAATATTCACAACCTGACAGTTGGGAGTTGTATTTTATTCAGTGGAATTTTTAGGACTTCAGACCCTGGAGGCAGCATCTCAACCCTGAAAGAACTGCTCTGAGGAGGCAAGAGGGGAGCCAGGTCATATAGAAGTATTACAACAAAGAGCAGGTATTCTGAACATCAAAAGATCATTGTTAAAGGAAAACCAGACATCTCCAGTTAAGGAATTTAGGTATTTTCTATGTATGGGAAGATGCAAGAGTCTGGCCTCATTCCTTTCATATGCACCTCACCTGTCTGGGGCTGGTATCCCGTGTTTTCATATCCTGAGTTTCCTCAGGGTTCACCATGGGGAGTGGCTGCAGTCTGACACCTTTTGGATGGCAGATATTCTTTCCTTCCTGAGTTCGCTCAGGGCTCACCAGCTCACCATCAGGGGTGGCTGCAATTGCTGATGACTGTGATGTGTTTTGTTTACCGATATGGTGGGAAATATTCCATTTATCATGATGAATCCCACCTTTGACCTGTGCTTGTGAGACACCCACGAGGACCAGTCCCTAAGCCTGCTAGATATAGACATTTGTCATCAGCACACCAGGATCTACCCAAGATTATGGAGGAATCACCCTGGGGGAGTAGATGCAATGAAAGGAGAAGGGACCTGAGGTTGGATCCCATTGAGAATCACAGCCTATGAGATTGCAGGGAAAAGGGTGGGGGTGGGGGGGCGCGTTGCAGGGAGATGGAGAAGGAGCTGACGAAAGGGAGCACTGGGGCAGCCTCTGGAGGGGAGTTGCAGAAAGGAGAGAGCAGAACAGTCTGAACGTGGCAGACAGAAAAGCTGAGGACCCAAAAGTGTGTGCTGGTAATGAGGAAGGCTCCAGTAGCCTTGGGTCAGGAGAGGAGCCGAAGGCGGGAGGGAGAAGTTGTTTATGGTGCATAGAGACAAGTCTATAGAAAGCTGGCTGCAGGGACTTCCCTAGCAGTCCAGTGGTCAGGGCTCTGTGCTTCCACTGCAGGGGCCATGGTTCGATTTCTGGTCCTGATCGGAGAACTAAAATCTTACATGCCATGCAACACCACCAAAAAAAATAAAATAAAACTTGGCTGCAAAGTTAAAGGAGACAAGAACAAGTCCTAGAAAAATAAGGGCTCAGAGGAGAGAGGGAGGGTTATTTTTTAAGGCAGGAGAGATTTGAGTTAGTGAACAGAATGGGAGAATGCAAAAGTAGGGAAGAGGTTGGCAACAGAAATGAGAGAGGGGCTCACATGACAGAGGACCTGAGAAGGTGGGCTCATGGTGGGGGGATGGGGCTTGAGAACAGCCAAGAGCAGATGTGCACGTGAATGCATCCTCTACCACAAAGTCCTCCCCACACTCAGTCTCATCCAAGCGAGGCGTTTAGACCCAAAGAAGAGGGGGCGGGGGAGTGGACCAATTCAGAGCCTAGACTGACCAGGAGAAGACCTTCCTGCCTGACTTCAGGAAGAGAAGACCAGGGCTGGTTGGGTGAAGGGGCCAGGTGATGGAGGTCATGGGAGGAACTTCCCTTGATCAGCCACGTGAGTGGGAGTCAAGGCAGAATTTTGAGAGGGGGCAGGAGTTCAGGGATGGTCTGGCTCACAGTGAAGGAGAGAAACATGGCACCTCATGCTTGCCTCCCTGCCTGTCTCTATAGCTTTGTTCATCCCTTGACTCACATGCTGGGGATGTTGGGGGTTATTGTTTTAGAAGCACCAGAACCGACAGAAGTATGGGCTGTGCGTCATCTTCCTTTCCTGTACCATGATGCCTGACTTTAAGGACCTGATCCAATTTGAAGTCAGCATTGGTCACTACGGAAACAAGATGGACCTGAGTTACAAGCCTCTCGTCTCAACCACACAGTACAGCCCAGTGATATACGATGGTAAGAGTCAGATCCAGCTGAATGGTAGAGAGAGACCACTGCATGCCGGGCTCTGGGTTGGCCCTTTTACGGTGTTTAGCCCAAGGGACATTCACAGACGTTGTTAACCCACAGTAGATGTGAGGAAAGTGAGCTTTGGGGAAGTAAAGTCACCTGTCAAACGTTGCACAGCTAGTAGGTGGTGAATCATGACAAGAGCTGCAACTAGGTTTTGACTTCAAGGCCTTCTCTACCATGCTTTCCACACCACAACTTCTCAATCCCATCTTCTCTCCTACTACTCTGAACCACCCTCATCCAGCCATGTGTGGATTAGTTGTATGGTGTGTAGATTATATTTCCCCCAAAAGAGCTGCCCACCTTCTATCTATCCATGAATCCACTTATCCATGCATTCATCCATTCAACTACCAACCATCCACTGTCCCAAACACCCAACCAACCACCCATCCACCCATCCATCTTTTCATCTAATATATGCTCACTGGAAATTTTTATTGGGCACCATAAGGTTCCCAAAGTGTGGTCCCTGGGCCAGCAGCATCACCTGGGAACTGATAGAAATGCACATTCTTGGCCTCACCCCAGATCTAGAGAATCTGAAAACAGAACAGCAGTCTGTGTTTCAACAAGCTGTCCAGGTAAGGGGCGGCATGCTAAAGTTTGAGGACCATGGCTCTAGAGAAACACTATCTCATCTTTGTCAGCTTCACCCTCTCATCACTTGAGAGCTTTTCTGTGCATCCCACTTGTCTGCCTGTTTTTTTAAGAACAGTTATTTTGGGGCAAATACAATTCACACACCATACAATTAATCCACGCAAAGTATACAATTCAGTAGTTTTTTAGTATATTCACAGCATTGTGCTCTGATCACTGTGATTAGTTTTACAACATTTTCATCAGTCCAAAAAAGAAACCCTGCACCCACTAGCAGTCATTTGCTATTTCTCCTCTACTTCCCCAACCTTAGGCAACCACTAATCTACTTCCTGTCTTACGTGTGTCCAACTCTTTGCGACCCCATGGACTGTAGCCTCTGTCCATGGAATTCTCCAGGCAAAGATACTGGAGTGGGTAGCAATTCCCTTCTCCAGGGGATCTTCCCGACCCAGAGATCAGACCTGGGTCTCCCACATTGCAGGCAGATTCTTTACCATCTGAGCCACAAGGGAAGTCCCTTCTCTGCCGCTTCCTATTCTGGACATTTCATATCCATAGAATCCATGTACGGTCCCTGATAACTGCTGTGTTCATTTAGCATAATCCTCTACATGTTTTTAAATTATGAAATATATACAAAAGTATATTAAATGCATATGTGTAGTTTAAAACCAATAATAAAATATATACCATGAAGTCATCACCCAGATTAAAAGGCCGAAATTCTCTTAGAAAGGAAGAAAATTATCTCAGCATCTTAGAAGCTCTCTGTATGCTCTTCCCAGATCCACTTACCCAAGAAATAACCACAGCCCTGAGTCTCATGATAATCACATCCTTGCTTTCCTTTGTTATTTTTACCACCTTGTGTGCTAACTTAAAGAGCATACTATTTTTGCATTTTTATATAAATGGAAACTTTCAGTGTGTATTCATCTGTTTTGCATTTTTTCTCAATAGTAAATGTTTATATTGGTATGTATAACTGAAGTTCATTTTCATATCTGTGTATATTCCATTGTATGATTATGTCACAAGTTTTGTGGTATATGTAGACATTGAGGTTTTATCTTTTTTCTACAATAATAATGTTGTTGTGAACATTCTTGTACATATCTGTTGGTCACAAGTGTAAGACTTCCTCTAAATTATATACCCAGGAGTGGAAGAGAAATTCAAAGCAAAAGTAATTATATCCAATTACACTCTCATCAGCGTGGCATGAGAGTTCTTATTACTCTGCGTTCTCACCAGTACTTGACCTTGCCTAGTCATTTCATTCCTGCCAGTCTGGTAGGTATGTTACAAGATCTTGATTTACAATTTCCTGATTATAAATGGAGGTTGAGCAGCTTTTCTTATGTTTACAAACATTTGTCTTTCCTCATCTGTAAAAAGTCTGTCAAGATCTTTTATGTATTATTCACAGTTGTCCAACTCTTTGTGACCCCATGGACTATATAATCCATGGAATTCTCCAGGCCGGAATACTGGAGTGGGTGGTCTTTCCCTTCTCCAGGGGATCTTCCCAACCCAGGGATCGAACCCAGGTGTCCCGCATTGCAGGCTGATTCTTTACCAGCTGAGCCACAAGGGAAGCCCAACTATTATCCTGTTTGGCTCTATTTTTCCTTATTGATTTGTACGTTATTTATTCTGGGAATAATCTTTTGTCAGATGTGAGTATGTTCTAAATATCTTCTCTAAGTTTGAAGCTTTTCATTCTCTTAATGGTGGCTTTTTTTAATTGAGGTATTATGAAATATAAAATGCACAGACTTTAGGTGAGTTGGATGAATTTTGGCTCATTCAAGTTCATTTGGGTTTTTCTGTAACATCTTATGGAAAAACTCAAACTTTTTGACCAGCCCAATACATCCACATACACATCATGGACAGAAATTCCCATCATCCCACAGAACTGCCACGTGCCTTTTTTCAGTTAATCTCCCCAGCTGCTGGGGGCAATCATTGCTTGCTTTCTATCACTATAGATTTGTTTTGCTTGTTTTACAACTTCATGTAAATGAGATCATACACATGGTACCTTTTTTTTCCGACAGCTTCTTTAGCTCAGCCTAGTATTTTAGGTGGTGGCTCAGTGGAAAAGAATCCGCCTGCCAATGCAGGAGATGCAGGTTCGATCCCTAGTCTGGGAAGATCTCCTGGAAAAGGAAATGGCTACCCACTCCAGTATCCTTGCCTGAGAAATCCCAGGGACAGAGAGCCTAGCGGGCTACAGTCCATGGGGTCACAAGAGAGTTGAACACTACTCAGGGACTAAAAAACAGCAACAAGTGTTTTAAATATTCATCTGTGTGGTTGCATATTTCATATTTGGCTCCTTTTTATATCTGATAGCATTCTGTTATATGACTATGACAGTTTATCCATTCCCCTGTTTATGGACATTTGGATTGATTCAAGTTTTGGAGTATTATGAGTACAACTGCTGTGAACATTCTGGTACAAGTCTTTTGGTAGAAATGAGCTTGCACTTCTCTTGGGAAAATAGCTAGCAATGGAATTGGTTTTAAAATACCTAACATTTTCCCCAGGTGGTTATAGCATTTTACACGCTCACAGCAATGTGTTTCCTTGTTCAAAGTCCTTGTCAGCTTTTGGTATTGTCAGCCTTTGCCATTTGAATCATTTTGATTTGTACCTAATCATTGATTAGGTACAATTGTTCCTAATTGTAATTTTTATTTTTTTGGCCACTCTAAGCGGCTTGTGGGATCTTAGTGTTCTAACCAGGGGTGGGACTTGGCCCCTGCAGTGAAAACACCAAGTCCTAAACACCAGACCACCAGGGAATTCCCCTTCATTTTAATTTTAATTTCCATTTCTCTAATCACTAATGATACTGAGTGTCTTTTCGTGCTCACATATCTTTCTTTAGTGAAGGGACTGTTCAAGTTTTTGCCTATCTTTCATCATTTGTCTTTTGATATTATCACATTGCAGGAGTTCTTTTACAAGGATACAATTCCTTTGTCAGATAGGTTCTGCTAACATTTTCTTCCTCTCTGGGGTTTATTTATTTATTATTGTGGCCAGGTATCTTACTGTGGCTTTAACTTGAATTTCTCTAACATCAAATGATACTGAGCATTTTTTCATATGCTCTTAACCATTCATGTGTCTTCTTTGTTTATATGTTTAATTCAAGTCTTTGCCCATTTTTTCAGTTGGGTTGTTTGTCTTATTGAGTTGTAAGAGTTCTTTATATGTTCTGGATACAAATACTTTATCAGATATAGGATTTGCAAATAGTCTGTGGCTTGTCTTTTCATTTTTTAAATGGTATCTTTTGAAGTGCAAACATTTTCAACTGACTGAAGTTCAGTTTTTTTTTTTTCTTTCATGGTGTCATATTTAAGAATTCTGCCCAACTCAAGGTCATAAAGATTTTCTACTTTTTCTTCTAAAATTTTTACAGTTTTAATTCTTACATTGAGCTGTAATGGTTCTTATTTTGGCCATGGCACAGCATAGGGGATCTTACTTCCCTGACCAGGGATGGAACCCTGACTCCTGCAGTGGAATTGCAGAGTCTTCACCACTGGACTGCCAGGGAAGGTGCCCATGGTTCCTTTTGAATTATCAATAATTTTCATATGAGTATTCAGTTTTTCAATCATCATTTGTTAAAAAGGATTATCCTTTTTCCAGGTGGGTTTTCTTAATTGTGTTTTTAAATATTCTGTTCCATTGTTCAGGTTTTCTACTATTAGGGCTTCATTTATGGGCTTAACAATTCTCCTTCCTTTTCTTCTGTATCTGTCATTTTCTCCCTGATCCTTTTTGGCTCTTTATTTCTATCTTATTTTGGTCATTTTTCTTTTCTTTTATGTCTACTTTTATTTATTTGGCTGCACTGGGTTTTAGTTGCAGCATATGGGATTTTCAATCTTCATTGAGGTATGCTGAATCTTTAACTGTGGCATGTGGGATCTAGTTCCCTGACCAGGGATCGAACCCTGGGCCCACTACATTGGGAGCACAGAGTATTAGCCACTGGGCCACCAGAGAGGCCCCCCGGTTGCCTTTCTGATTTCTTTGCCTCTTGCTGGATTGTCTGTGGAGTCTAATCCCTGTTGGGCTTCCTTTCATGTCGTCTTCCTTCCTGTAATGTTTTGTTTTCTCTTCTATTCCTTTTCTGAGTCTTGCCAGCTCACATATCCTCGTCTGGGTCCTCAGTCCATCCCGGGGGTGTTTTTTAGCTGCACTCTGCCCCCATCCAGCCGTGGCTCCCGCTGTCTGTCTTGCCATTCACCCCCCACCCCCAGGTGACTTCTGTCACCCTTCAACCCTCACAGCTCCTCAGGCACTCACAGCTGATTCTGGCAGCCCTTATGTGTATTTTGAGCCTGCAGATTATATCTGTCTCCTTGTTTTGCTGAAAATGGAGTTATTTCCCTTCTCCTTGTTGCTTTTGTATGCTATCCAAGAGCAGCAGAAGAAAATTGCCGTCTTGTGTCGGCTCACTCACATCTGAGAGCCCCAGTCCTGGGTCTCTGTTTATTTATCATTCCTGTGATTCACTCAGTGTGAGGGTTTGAAACTGGTGTCCTTCCAACAATTCAGGAAAATTATAAGATACTTTCTCTTTGAAAACGACCTCTTACCCTTCTCTCTTCTAGCTCCTTCTCAAATTTACTCTATCCTCTGTGGAACTTCTCATGCTGTTCCACACGTTTTTAAATCTTCCTTCTGTATTTTTCATCTCTCTGGGTTGCATTCTGCATAATTTCTTCCAGATCTTTTAGGAAAAGCCGTAGGTAACTATTCTATTAAAAGACTTCTGGCAGCTCCCTCTCTCTCTCCCACATCATCCTTCTCCATAGCATTTTCCACCATTTGACACCCTGTATTTTATATATATATTTTATATATTTATATGTATTTTATATATTTTGATCCCAGTGGTTTTTTTTTAATAATTCTTGAGTAGGCTTTTGATTCAAATATAACACATCTATGGAAAAGTACACAAACCAAAGTATTCAGCTCAATGAATTATTGCAAAGCAAACATAGCCACCTAACAACATTCAGACCATGAAACAAAATCCCAACATCCCAGGGGCCCCTTGAACCTGCCACCCCCCCACCCACACCAACGGCTGCTGTCCTTCTCCTAACTGACAGTTTTGTCTGGTTTTTGACTTTTTATTTTTTAACTTTTCTTTCTTTTTCTTTTAATTTCTGGATTTAAAAAGTTATTTAGTTATTTATTTGGCTGTGCCAGGTCTTTGTTGAGACATGCGGGATCTTTTGTTGTGGTGCATGGACTCTCTAGTTGCCCTGAGTCATGTGCAATTTTAGTTCCCCTACCAGGGATCAAACCCAAGTCCCCTGCGTTGCAAGGCAGATTCTTAACCACTGGACCACAGGGAAATCCCCAACATAGCTTTATAGGGGACGCAATTCAACCTATTTCACAGGGGTGTCCTCCTAGACTGCCCACCTCAAACAGTGCCCGTCTGTCTCTCCTGACCTCTGGACCCTGGCAGTTGTCACAGAGAAGAGCCAGTTCTTCAAGATTTTCCAGAAACTCAGAGGACAGTTGTCCACTTTGCTTCCACTTGCCTCACAGACTTTCTGCTTTGACTTTATTTTCGATTTCCTGCGGATTTTATTTCAACTCAGCAAAATGTTTCAGAAAAAGAATACCATGTGCTTCATCTAGCTTTCCCTGCCCTTGTTTCAATAAGAATCATGGCCAGGGGACCCAGTCTGCCAGGCCCATCAGTGGCTTTGGACCATGCCTGCCCCTCCACCCCACTCCTCTGCACGGGCAGGCCCTTTATGTCAGGTGTCTGCCCACCCTAACCAAACTCTGGGTCTCTGAACCCAGGGCCCACTCCTTCTCTGCCTCCTGACACCCAGAAGGAAGGCCCAACCTCAAGGCAGACCTGGGCCTTGGTATCTCGCCTGAGTTAGGGGCACAGGCTCTGGAACTGAATGCCCGCGTCATACCACCTGGCTGAGCCATCGCAGGGAAACCACTTCCCATTCTAGCGTGGGTTTTCCCACCTGTGAACTGGGGACCTTGTGAGCCCGAGTGACGTGGAGCACCGTGAGGGCCCCGTTAGGCCATCTGTGCTCATCAAAGCATATCCATCCTGAACTGGCCCACAGCCTACCCTCCAGCGGGAGGGGTCCGGTTGGGATGCTTTAGCAGATCACCCCCTAGAGGAATGGCATGGCCCAGGGAAGGTCCTCTGAGAGGGGACACGGTGCGGGGTGTCCCTCAGACACCCCCGCCCCACACACGTGGCTCTGTGTTTCAGGGAACATCTACTATTACGTGCCCTGGTACAACACCAAGCCCGTTGTGGCCGTGACCTCCTTTTGGGAGGACGTCGGCTTCCGTATGAACTGCCTCAACCTCCTCCAGTTCACGCGGGATCGCCTGGTGAGTCGTGTGGGCAGGGGAGTGAGGGGGGCCAGGGACAGACCCAGGTCTATTTTTGTTTTTTTTTTAATTTGTCTACCGGGTCTTTAGTTGTGGCATGCGAACTCTTAGTTGCAGCATGTGGGATCTAGTTCCCTGATCAGGGATGGAACCCGGGCCATCTGCCTTGGGAGCATGGAGTGTTGTGACCCCATGGACTGCAGCACGCCAGGCTTCCCTGTCCATCACCAACTCAAAGGTCCCCAAGTCCTGGCTGAAAGCATCCTAGGCCAATCAGCCTGTCCCAGGGGAGCCCCACACTCACACACTGCTTCTCTCCTGCTGGGCAGAAGGCCAACCTGGACACCCTGAAGTCCATGAGGAATCCGAGGGACCCGGCTCTGCTTCCGCAGTGGGAGAAACTGCTGAGGGAGCTGGTGGAGGACTGCAAGTAGGGGCGGGGAGCACCTACCCCCGGGGCTAGGGCTGAGCTCGGTCGAGTCCACACAGAGCCTGGGGCGCAGACCAGACCCTACAGAACAACTATCCCACCGCTTCCCTCCCGCACCCCTGCCTCCATAGCGAACATAAGCTCAGATCTCTCTCCAAATAACAGAGCTGCTTCTCTACCATTCAGGGACCTCCAAAACGGTTCTGACCTCTCCTCCCATCACTGTCCCCTCTACATCACGCCTGATGCTCCTATCAAACCAAGCTTCTCTCCACTGTCCAGACAAGCCCTGCACGTCCCAGCCCACACCTTCTCCTCCATCACCCCTCGCCACAAGGCCCTCGTCAGGCTTCTGCCTGTTCTGGAAGAGCCCTTGTAAGGCCTCTCTCGGGCCTTCAGCCCACTTAGATCTCCTCCTCCCCGGGTTTGGTTGGCCCCCGTCTCACAGCTCACAGCTCTGTCCACGAGGAGGTCCTGAGCACGGGCCTGGCACACTGCGGGGGCTGGGAGGACTGGAGCAGGAGGTATGAGAACCCAGGGCCAGACCCACAGTGAGTGTGTTTCCTGAGGAGGGCAGGCAGGGCTCCATCCCACTCGCCAGGCCTGCACTCTGCGTCTGCAGGCCGGTCCACCAGGTCGACCAGCTGTTACGGCCAACTTGGTCTCAGAGGACTAGTCAGCTGGGCCAACCAGTAGGGCAAGCTCTCCGGTCTAGGGAGGACACTGAGGCTGGGCGGGGTGGTGAGCAGGTGAGATGGGAGAGAGACCAGCCCCCGCTCTCCCGGTCCTTGCCACAGGCGGCCGCTGCCCTGCATGACCAGTCAGCCCAAAGCCACCGACCTGGACAAGAACAGGTGGAAGCTCCGCCGCCTCCTCCTGCAGGAACTGGCCCAGAAGGCCAAGCAGGCGCCCCCCAGGGACATGGTGGCCACCGCAGAGGGCTGGCTGCACCGCCTCAATGCCGTGCTCCCCGAGGTGGGTGCTGGACACTCCGGTCGGGAACAGGCCTTGGTACCGGCCGCTCAGGCAGGCCTGATGCTCTTGCGCCCGCAGCCCCAGATGAACCTCCCCGATGTGATGATCTGGCTGATGTCCCGGGAGCAGCGGGTGGCTTATGCTCAGGTGCCCGCCCACAGCATCCTGTTCTCCCCAGACGGGGCCCGGCACTCCGGCAGGTTCTGTGGGAAGACACAGACCCTATTCCTGCAGGTGGGGAGGTCGGGGGTCCTCAGGGGAGGAGAGGGCCCAGGACAACCCAAGGGAGAAGCCCTGAACCCCCCACCTCCACACCGGAGAGCCCCCATGAGCCTCTGGAGGGCATGCCCATTTCCTCTCTGCTGGGCCCTTTACCAGGAGAAATGGGGTTTAAACAGAGGGAGGCAGGAGCCTGGATCCATCGGCATGTAGCTGGTGCCAAGTCCATGCCCATCATAAATGTTCCTCAAGTTTGTCCCCTCCATTGTCCTCACACCTCACCTAGTCCTATCCCTGTCCCCTCTCCCCTGGTCCATGATTGGCTGCTATCTACATATTTAATACCTTTAAGGTTTGGACTCCAGCCCTTCCTATCAGATACAATCCATAAATAAGGCTGACTGAACACAAGTCTCCTGCCCTGAAGACAGTCCTAGCTTCCAGCCTTCCCCCTCCCGCCCCAGGGAGGCAGGTGGGAGACCCTGCCTCCCTCTCAGAGACTTCCTGGCTCCCCATTGCCCGTCCCGCCATCGTGGAAGGCTCCATCCCCATGGTGCCCATCTGAGTCCTTCTTATCTTACAAGAACACTGAGACTTGAATCCCGGTTCTGTGGCTCACTGGCTGTGTGAGCTGGGGCCCACCGTGTCTGGCCTCAGCCTGCTCCTCTGTGAAATGGGCCTGGTGATGAAGGTACCCACTCTGTAGTGTGTGGGCATTAGAGCATCCATGACACATGTGGTACTTAGCACAGTGCATGGCACATCACATGGCAAGTGTCACTGTCAATGTCACCATCGGCTCCACTCCTCCCCAGAGCATTCCCAGGCTCCCTAGCGGCCCTGCCCCTCCGCACTCCTGCACCCCTCACCCCCCCCAGCCTCTGTGATGCCCGTCACCCAACTCAGTGTGAAGCCCCTGCTCCCGGGGCCTAGGGTGAAGGGGCAGGGGCAGGGGTGTGTGCCCCTCCCTAACCCATGCCCCTGCCCCCGGGGGGCCCGAACCCCTGTGGTTGCTGACCTGCCTCTGGCTCAGTACCCAGAGGGAGAAGGAGAGAAGGACACCCTCCCCGCCCAGCTCCGGGTCTGCATGTGGCTCGGCAACGTGACTGATAGCAGGGACCTGGAGCTGCTCCGCCAGGGCTTTGTTGACAAGCCATGGCCTTGGTAACAGGAGGGCAACTGAGTGGTCCCCTGGGGCCAGTCACTTTCACTGGGATGGAGGTTAACAGGGAATTTCTCCCAGTTAGTTCAGTGCACATGAGGTGAGTAAGGCTCTGACTGCTTGCAAGGTCCTTGTCCATCATTAACGTGACAGCCCGGGGCCCCTACCCACCCCAGCTGGGGAAGGGGAGTTCTGAAACAGAGGAGCTGGAAATGGGGTATCTTCCCTCAGAACGGTAAACCCAGGGGGTAGGTGAGCAGCCGGCCAGAGGTTGCTCTATAATCAGAGAAGGGGGAGGACATGGCTCAGGAGAAGGTCCTGAGAATAGAGGGGAAATAAGTTTTGAGTTTCAGACTTCCCAGGTGGCTCAGTGGTAAAGAATCTGCCTGCAATGTAGGAGACCTGGCTTCAGTCCCTGGGTCAGGAAGATCCCCTGCAGAAGTCTACCCACTCCAGTATTCTTGCCTGGAGCGTTCCATGGACACAGGAGGTTGGCGGGTTACAGTCCATGGCTCGCAGAGTCAGACGTGACTGAGCAACTAACACTTCAGACTTTTTAACTGAGTTAAAACCTGTTTTCATGGTTCCTAAGTTGCATGCTGTGGATGGAGAGACGGCAGGACTTGGAGGCGCCTAGACAGAGGGGAGTTAGGATGAGTGCAGGGGACAGGGGCTGAGTGTCCCTTGGGGGAATGTGGAAGAAAGTTCCAGACCCAGTGGCAGTGGTGGAGCAGGACTGGGTTCCCCAGTGACGTGGGGAGGACAGGTCACGTTGCAGGCAACCAGCAGGCTCTAACGCAGGCATCCACCCCACTCCACTCCTCCATGGCTGAGCCACCTGGGGTAGAGGTGACCTCTGAGCCTCAGCCTCATCACCTGTGAAATGGGAGAGTGTGGCTGAAAGGGGCCTGGCCACATGAGCACTTGATTCATGGCATCTGCCTGTGTTGACGGACAGCAGGGGAGATGCTGTCCCATCACAAGTGACGACACAGCTCCTGCCCCCAGGCAGGTCCCACGCCCTTTCTTGCCTGGCTCCATGTTTCTAGGAGGCACGTACAGCCCAGGGTAGGAGGCTTTGGGCGGGTGCTGGGTGTGCGGAGGGGGCTGTGGGCACTGATGTTTTCCCCTCTCTCAGTACGAAAACCAGGCCAAGTTTAAGGACCAGTGGGGACAGCAGTTTCTGCAGCACTGCCCCAACTTCTCGGATGTCATGGGGCACAAGGCCCTTCCCAAGGAAGATTTCAAAGAGCCCCATGGATGGCACTGGGAAGGTCCGTGGACAGTGGAGCCTCAGAGGAGGTGAGGCTGGGGCGTGGGGCCTGGAGCCTGGGTGCCCCTGGACAGGCAACCTTGGAGCTGGCACTTCATTTTACCCAGGAGGGCCAGTAGGCAGCAACTCAGGGAGGCAGGCATACAGCCACTGAAGCCTGGTCCCGGGGGGCCCTGCCCGCCCCCCTACCCTGCATGCTAGGCCCCGCTGCCCAGCCTTGCCCAGAGCAGGTGCTGCTGCCAGGTATGGGAGTGCTTGGCCAGCGAAGGAGGACCCCAGGGGTCGGTAAGCTCAGGGAGGTGTGCTGGGAACTTGGGGTCTCACCGCCCCTAGGCTGCTCCTGGACACAGACATCAACAAGAGCCAGGTGCTGGAGGAGGTGTATGAGAACCAGCGCCGGGATGCCACGGGGGCCTGGGTACCTGCCGCCATCCCCAACACGGATGTGGTGAGTAGGGGGCGTGGGGGACAATCCACGCTCCCAGGGGGGCTTGGAAGCTGGGAGCGCTGGATCAGTGGGACCCAGGTGAGCACTGATGGGGTTTGTATCCCGAGGTGGCAGGAAGAGGTACCCTAAGTGGGACTGGAAGAATGACAGAGTGTCTCCACCCCCCGTGCAAAGGCAGTGCTTTTACCCAGAAAAGGAGACTGTTTGGGGCTGGTCTAAACCAACACTGTCCAAGAGAACTTTTTTTTTTAACTTTTTATTTTTTACTTCAGTAAAGCCAATTAACAATGTTGTGATAGTTTCAAGTGGACTGCAAAGTAACTCAGCCGTGCACACATGTATCTGTTCTCCCCCAAACCCCCGTCCCATCCAGGCTGGCACATAACGTTAAGCAGATTTCCCTGTGCTATCCAGTAGGTCCTTGTTGATCATCCATTTTCAATACAGCAGTGTGTACATGTCCATGCCAAACTCCCTAACTATCCCTTCTCCCCCAGCAACTGTAAGTTCATTTTCTAAGTCTGTGAGCCCAAGAGAACTTTCCGTGATGATAGAAATGTTCTGTATCTCCACTGTCGTGTGGCTGTTGAGTGCCTGAAATGTGGCCCTTGTGGAAGTGAGGAACTGAACTTTAAATTTTGCTTCTTTTCTATTTGGCCACCCTGCACAGCTTGTGGGATCTTAGTTCTGTGACCAAGGATCAAACCTGGGCCTCCGGCAGTAGAAGCTCAGAGTTTTAACCATTGGACCACGAGGGAATTCCCAAATTTTGTTTCATTTCACTGAACTTAAATAGAAGGAGCCCCAGGAGGCTGCTGGGCTTCTCAGGTGGCTGTGTGGTAAAGAATCCACCTGTCAATGCAGGAAACACAAGTCCAATCCCTGGGTTGGGAAGATCCCTTGGAGGAGGAAACACTCCAGTGTTCTTGCCTGGAGAATCCCACGGACAGAGGAGCCTGGTGGGTTACAGTCTACAGGCTCACAAAGAATCCGACACAACTGCAAACTGAGCACACGCACGTGCAGGCTGGAGGCTGCTTACTGGGTCAGTTCAATTCAGTTACTCAGTCGTGTCCGACTCTTTGCGACCTCATGGACTACAGCAGGCCAGCCTTCCCTGTCCATCATCAACTCCTGGAGTGCTCAAACTCATGTCCACTGAGTCAGTGATGCCATCCAACCATCTCATTCTCTGTCGTCCCCTTCTCCTCCTGCCTTCAATCTTTCCCAGCATCAGGGTCTTTTCCAAGGAGTCAGTTCTTTGCATTAGGTGGCCAAAGTATTGGAGTTTTAGCTTCAGCGTCAGTCCTTCCAATGAATAGTCAGGACTGATTTCCTTTAGGATTGACTGGTTGGATTTCCTTGTATTCCAAGGGACTCTCAAGAGTCTTCTCCAACACCACAGTTCAAAAGTGTCAATTCTTTGGCGCTCAGCCTTCTTTATAGTCCAAGTCTCACATTCATACATGACCACTGGAAAAACCATAGCCTTGACTAGATGAACCTTTGTTGGCAAAGTAATGTCTCTGCTTTTTAGTCTGCTGTCTAGGTTGGTCATAACTTTTCTTCCAGGGAGCAATCGTCTTTTAATTTCATGGCTGCAGTCATCTGGAGCTCCCCAAAATAAAGTCTGTCACTGTTCCCATTGTTTTCCCATCTGTTTGCCATGAAGTGATGGGACCAGATGCCATGATCTTAGTTTTCTGAATGTTGAGCTTTAAGCCAGTTTTTTCACTCTCTTCTTTCACTTTCATCAAGAGGCTCTTTAGTTCTTCTTTGCTTTCTGCCATAAGAGTGGTGTCAACTGCATTTCCGGGGTTATTATTTCTCCGGGCAATCTTGATTCCAGCTTGTGCTTCATCCAGCCCAGTGTTTCTCATGATGTACTCTGCATATAAGTTAAATAAGCACGGTGACAATATACAGCCTTGATGTACTTCTGACTGGACAGTGAGGTTAACTCACATCTCACAGGCTGGTCTCCTCTGCACAAGGGCAGAGCTGACTTGGGTGTGGGCAGGCAGCAGCATCCACCTGAGATTCAGTCATGCTACTTTACTTTCATAGTCATACGTATGGTTATTTCCTATTTATGGTGAGTGGTTATATAAAGTTTATATAAAACTGATGGTGCTTATATAAAGTTTCCTTTTAAAAATGCATGTACCGTTCAGAAAGGCAAACCCATAAAAGCGTATTAAGTGAACAGTCGGGTGGCACTAGCTGTAACAAGCACTGTCTGCTCCTGGGGCAGGAGGCCATGACAGCTGCAGTAGGCCCGCCCTGTCTGTCCACCCACAGAATGGAGAGCCCGTGGAGGCCCGGGAGATTGTGAAGTGCCCCCAGGGCTGGCACGTGAAGCAAACCTGGGCTGTGGAGCTGAACCACGCAGTGGACAATGAGGGTCAGTCCTCTGGATGCTGGCTGAGGGCGGAAGGGTCTGGAGCTAAAAACCGCCAAGCTCTCGGGTAGAGTGGGCCTATGTCCCTGGGGTCCCCAGCCTTCAGAGAGTGGGGCCTCCCTACTTGCCACAGACATCGGCCCCAGCTTTAAGACAGGTGTGTGCATGCGTGCTAAGGCACTTCAGTCGTGTCCGACTCTTTGCAAACCCATGGACGGCCAGGCTCCTCTGTCCGTGGGGATTCTCCAGGCAAGAATCCTGGAGTGGGTTGCCATGCCCCCAGGGGTCTTCCCAGCACAGGGATTGAGTGTCTTCTGTCTAACCTGCATTGGCAGACGGGTTCTTTACCACTGCCTCCATCTGGGAAGCCCACATGCTGAATGCCTCCTGGGCACATGAAGGTCAAGTCCAGAGCTTGGTTCAGCCTAGTGGCCCCAGGGAAGGGGCAATGAATGGGCTAGGAGTCGGAAGACCGGGGCTCCGGGTGTAGGCTCTGCTACTCATGAGCTGGGTGATGCGTGCGGGTCCCGGGACATCTGTGAGATCACCTTCCTCATCTGTCAGATGGGCTGCTGGGCTCTGCCCACTGGGTGATGCTGTGTGACCACACCTTTCCCTGTGGCCACAGACCTAGACATGAGGGACTGCACTGCCCCCTTGGCCTGCCCTTCCCGGGGCCTGTCTCAGGCCCATCCAGGCCCCTGAGCCCCTGGGCACCCACGGGCCATGTCCTGGCCCCGCAGGCTGGGAGTACGGCGTGGGCATCCCACCCTCGGGGCTGCCCCAGGTCTGGAACTCGGTGGAGAAGACCTACTACTCACGCCGGCGCCGGCGCTGGGCACGGGTGCGCTACCGGGACCACGGGCGGCTGAGCCACGAGCAGGAGACCCTCTCCTTCCTGCAGCTGGTGAGGGGCCGCCCGGGCAGCGACCGGTGGGACCACAGGGCGGGAGGGGGGCCCGCAGAGGGCGCCCACCCACAGCCACAGCCACAGCGGTGAGAGGGCATCTGCGCTCCCCCTGCAGCACCACCCTGGCCTGGCTGAGGACGAGGCAGGCTGGGAGTACGGCGTCTTCGGCTCCAAGTTCCACCTGAACCCTCAGCCCCAGAGCCGCTTCCGCCGCCGCTGCTGGCACCGCAGGCTGGCCCCCAACAAGGTCAAGGGCATTGCACCCATATTCCTCCTGGAGGGATCATTGGTAAAGCCCCAGTGGACTAGGGGTCTCCCCTCCTGCAACCCTGCCTCCGGAGCCAGGGCACGCCTGGTGGGGCAGGCAGCCGGAGGTGCCCTGTGTGGTCCAACGCAGCGACCGCTGTGGGGTGGTGGAGGGGACATCCTTGGGCTTTGGCTGGGGAGAAGGGTGACCTGGGCCTGCACTGGAGGTGACAAGAAAGGCACCAAGAGCCTCAGGGAGTCTGTCCTGGGCACAGAGCACAGATATGAAAGAGCAGGCGAAGAGAGAGGTGGACACAGTGTCGTCCACACGGAGGCTGGACAGCCTCAGGCGTGTCTGGAGGGCGCCCCCAGCCGTCACCCAGACGCCCAACCTGCCCTTCATCTACTGCGTCTTCAACAGTGAGCATGCAGCGGACAGTCTGCTTGGGTGGCCCCAGAGGCCCCCCGTGCCTGAGGGCGGGGAGCAGGGGGCCTGGGCTGGGGTCCTGAAGGCAGGTGGCAGACATGGCTCCTCTCTTTCCCAGAGCCCCACTACTACCAGCTCTTCTGCTACATCTACCAGGCCCGGAACCTGATGTCCAGCCATGTCCAGACATTCCAGGGTAGGCAAGGGCACCCCTTCTCCACCAGCCTCTCAGGGACCCCCCACTTGACCACCCAGCAGTGTAAAGGATGGCGAGGAAGGCGGTGACAGAGCTGCAGATCCCTGCCCCCTGCAGCTCGTGACCCTGGTTTGGGGAGAAGACGCAGGAGCAGGGAACACAGGATGGGAGCAGTCTCGCCGTGTGTCCCAACACCGTGAGATCGGGAAGGGGAGGCTTCAGCCAGAGGAGGCCACTCAGCTGGGCCTTGAGGAGCGAGGGGGAGGAGGAGACACGCAGGCGAGAGACAGGGCAACAGGCTTGGGCACCACATGTCCCCTGCAGGGGGCAAACGACAGGTGGGGATGAGGTTTGGCAATTTCCAGCCCCACATGGAGATTTCAGGTGCCCTGGGCTGGCAGTGGCCCTGTTTGTCAGGAGCCAGAGTGCTAGACGGGGTCTAGCCGGGGCAGTGGGTGTCTGCTGGGAGCTGTGTCCATTGGGAGCATCGAGAGGGCTTCCCCTGGTGGCTCGGCAGTAAAAAAAAGTCACCTGCAGTGCAGGAGATTCAAGAGACGCAGGTTTGATCCCTGGGTGGGGAAGATCTCCTGGAGGAGGAAATGGCTACCCACTCCAGTATTCCTGCCTAGAGAATCCCATGGACAGAGGGGCCTGGCGGGCTACATAGTCCACGGGATCACAGCGAGTCAGACACCACTGAGCAGCTAAACCACCACCAGCCTCTTCCAAAGGGACTTGTGATGTCCCTTGATGCCAAGGCCACTTGCTGATAATGAGGAAGAGCAGCCACGTACATGTAGCCTGGTCCCCAGAACCCCTCCAGAGAAGCCACTGGGCACTCTGAGTCTGTGATGCCTGGACCCCAGCCATGACAGTTTAAGGTGGCCTCTGGCTATCAGCCCACAGGCTCTGCACCTAACATTGAGGTGGCCTTCTGGAATGGCTGCAGCTGGTGGGACTGAGCCTCTCTGGGTGCTGGGTCCGGTGGTGCCAGCGGCCAGAAGAGAGGAGGGCTTCACTCAGTAGGTCCAAGGCACCACCTCCTCAACTTCCACCCCCAGGGCCCTTCATCAGGCTGGTCTTCTTGAACCACAGCCAGCGCACCCAAACCCTGAAGAGCTCCGCAGCCCCCACATGGGCCCAGACGCTCATCTTTCAGCACCTCCTTTTGTACGAGAACCCTCAGGACACCAGAGAGGGCCCGCCGTGTGTGGTGTTGGAACTGTGGCAGCGGGACCCCCAGGTGAGGCTGGCTGGGCTGGGCAGAGCTCTGAGGAGACTGTATTTATTCATCTTATTTTATTTGCTTTGTTGTGCGGCATGACCAGGGCTTCCCAGGTGTTGCTAGTGGTAAAGAACCCGCCTGCCAGTGCAGAAGACGTAAGAGATGCTGGTTCAATCCCTGGGTGGGGAAGATCCCCTGGAGGAGGGCATGGCAAGCCACTCCAGTCTTCTTGCCTGGAGAATCCCATGGACAGAGGAGCCGGGTGGGCTGCAGTCCATAGGGTTGAAAAAGAGTCAGACACGACTGAGCGACTAAGCACTCATGCATGCACGCGGCATGAAGGAATCTTAGTTCTCTGGCCAGGGATTGAATTCATGCCCACTGCAGTGGAAGTGAGGAGTCCTCACCGCTGGACCACCAGGGAATTCCTGTGAGGAGTCATTATTGTGGAGGAGAATATTCAGAAAGTGCTCAGTGAGGCCGATTCGCAGAGCACATCCTGAGAACATAAATGTCAGCCCTGATCGTGGCGGCGTCAGAGTCCTGGGAGGAGCCAGGATGCTGCCAGCCTGGCCCCCGTTTTCTGTGAACTACCCCTTCCCTCCAGGGCAGTGAGACACTGTGGGGACGGACTATGTGGCACCCGGTGGTCTGGCTGGACGCCCAAGACCGGATCCTGCCCCCCATGAGGTGGCACCCCCTTGTAAAAGGGCTGGAGGACGAAGAGGGCGAAATCTTGGCGTCCTGTGAGCTGATCCTTGAGACTGAGGTGCCAGGAGAGGGGGTCCAGCTGGGAGGTGGGGTGCCCAGCGCCCCCACCCTGCCCCGCTCCTCTGCCATGGGTTCCACAACTGGCAGCCCCCAAGCCCAGTTCCTCAAGAAAGCCCTGGGGGGCCCTGGCTCAGACACTGCTGGGTGGGAGGTGCCGACCTGCCCGGCCTCTCCATGACTCTGCCACTAGCTTCTGCCCAAAGGGCTCCAGGGCCGCCTCAGCTGAGCGCTCTCAGGGTCCTGCTTGAGTGGGGGAGGGGGGAGAGTAGGACCAGAGCAGTGGGGCCTCATCTTCCTGCTCCCCTGCCTCATCCCTTCAGAGCCTCAGACAGCAGCTGCCCATGTTAAGTGTGCCCTGGAAGAACGGCATCTACATCCTGCCCAAGAGCATCCAGCCCACGCTCAGGAAAATGGCTATCGAGGTGACAAAGCGTGGAGCGGGGCAGGCGGGTGGGTGGGGCACAAGCTGTCCCCAGAGCAGTTGAGCATCATGGAGCACTCTCTGCTGACCCTCTTGTGCCTTCTGCCTACCTGATCCAAAGCTTGGACCCCAAGAAGATACCCCGTGAGAGACACAGAGGGACAGGAGAGACGTGAAGGGCAAAAGCTCTGATAGACTATTTTGCAGTATTTTAATGCAGATCTCTGCAGCAGCAAAATATCATGAGGTGGCACTAGTGGTAAAGAACCTGCCTGCTAATACAGGAGACGTAAGAGACACGGATTCGATCCCTGGGTTGGGAAGATCCTCTAGAGAAGGAAATGGCAACCCACGCCAGTATTCTTGCCTGGAGAATCTCATAGACAGAGCAGCCTGGTGCGCTACAGTCCAGGGGGTCACAAAGAGTCGGACATGACTGAGTGGCTTGGCACCCAGCAGGTCGTAGACAAAGGGCTTTAGCATTCATTGCCTACTGTGTGTGAGCCTCACATGGCCCCTGAGCAAAAATTAGGGACTACCACCTTCCAGAGAAGGAAATTCAGGCTCTGAGAAATAACACACCCACGCGCGGCGACACAGGGGCTCCGTGGCAGCACCAGAGTTTGGGCCCGGCCCTGCCAGACTCCAAATGCCAGGACGCTTCTCGCCTCTTCTGAGAGTAGCATGGAGGGCCCCATGTTAGAACCTCGGTGCCTGCCACAGACCTGGCCAAGAGAGGACGATGGTCAGGTCTTCCCAGCACCACAGCCCGCATCAGGCCAGGTGGCTGGTTCCCACTCTGCCCCGAGGCAGCTCTCTGAGGAGGGGGTGACCGCACGCGGGGTGCCCAGTGGGGGGCCACAGATAGCGAGATCGCAGGGCACTATCGTGCTGACCGGCCATGGAGTTCTGTGGGGCTCAAGTCAGCCACCAGCTAGAGGGCACCGCCATGCCTGGGAGCCCGGGGCCACACCAGCTGCTGTAGGCCTGGGAGGCAGCCAGCATCAGGAACTCCTCCCAGAGAAACGATTAGAGGCCAGACGGGCAGCAAGGGAGGAAGCGCGGCACCTCCATCATGGAGGAGAGAGGACGGTGCCCAGGCCTGGAGCACGAGCGCTCCTCCCCACAGGAGAGGGGGCCTGGGCGAGCCTCGTGCCCCGGCCCTGCAGGCCCCCCAGCCAGGCCGGACCCCGGTACAGAGGCACCGCCTGTTCCCGCCCCCACCCACTCTCCATCCCACCAGATGCTGGTCTGGGGCCTTCGCAACATGAAGCAGGTGCGCTCGCCCCGGCTCCTGGTGGAATGCTGGGAGGAGTCCCTGCAGACCGAGCCCATCAGGGACTTTCAGAGCAATCCCAACTTTGCCCAGTCAGCCCTCCTTCTCACACTGGTAAGGACACCGTGGGCGAGGGCTGGGACGATGCCCGTCGCGCGGGAAGCCTCACGCCCTGGCCTGTCCCGGCGCTGCAGTACATGCCTACGGAGGAGAACTTTGCACTGCCGCTGGTGCTGAAGGTGGTGGACAGTCAGGACTTCGGCCAGGAGACCGTGGTGGGTCAGGCCAATGTTCACTCTCTGCAGCCCTACTTCTGTGACCCCTGGGCCGAGGACTACGTGCCCCCGAGGCCCCCAAGTACGACCCTCTCTCCCTGCCCTTCCCCAGGCCTCACCCACGGGCTGACCCTGCACGGGGGTGCCCCTCCTCCTCCCCCTCATCCTCTCTCCTGAGACTCATGACTGCACTTTCTCCACACAGCGCTGTCGGTGAAAAAGTACCAGGAGGTGAGTGAAGGGCCAGAGGCCCCGTGCCATTTCAGGAAATGGCCCTTGTGCCTGAGGAGGGTGGATTAAACAGAGCTCTGAGGTCTGTGCCTCCAGGGTGAGGCCTACTTGTTCAGGGAAACTCAAGAGCAGCGATTCTCAACCTGGGCTGCACATTAGAGTTCCTCAAGAATTTTAAAAAGCCCAGATGGCCAGACCATTGACCAATTGCTGGGGGTAGGACCCAGGTGGCATCAATCTCTCTTTTTTTTTTTCAAGGGCTTCCCTGGTGGTTCAGATGGTAAAAAATCGTGCCATGTAGGAGATCTGGGTTTGATCCCTGGGTGGGGCAGATCACCTGGAGAAGATTCCCTGGAATGGTTACCCACTCCAGATTCTTGCCTGGAGAATTCCACGGACAGAGGAGCCTGGTGGGCTACAGTCCATGGGGTCACAATGAGTCGGACACGACTGAGTTGACAAGCGCTTTCATACCTCACCCCACCCCAAGTGATTCCAGTGTCCCTGAACTTCAGAACTGCTACCCTGGAGCGCGCCTGTCGGCTTTGAATGCACAGGAATCCTTGGGACATCCTGAACAAATGCAGATTCGGATCCAGAAGCCTGGGGGGGGGCTTAAGGCTCTGAACTTCTGAGCCTTCCAGAGTTCAATCTGGGCTGCGGGCAACGAGAACCTAGAACAAACCTTCCCCTCCTTCTTGGCCCCCATCCTATTTCCGAGGACCCCTGAATTAAGAGGTCTCTGTGAATGGGAAGGGAGCCAGGGAAGGAGGCCGTGACCTTGAGTCCGTTCTCCTCTGGGAAGTGGGAGGCGATGGGTGGGCTGGGCAGCTGGGCCTCGCCTCGCTCATGTGCAGTCATTTTTCAGCTCCTAGGTTACCTCTGTGAAAAGTTCTGGTTCAAGTCCAGCAAAGCTGAGGTGACGGAGGCTCAGCCTCAGGGAATAAGGCATAGCCCTGGGCAGCCCAGGGAGGGGTGGGGCAGAGGAAGCCCCCGCGCCCCTTCCCCAGGAAACGCCCCCTCTCCCTGCCAGGACGAGCATGACCAGGAGGTAGACTGGTGGAGCAAGCTGTTCTGGGCCACCGGAGACGCTCCCCGGACCCTGAAGTACAAGTACAAAGACTACCACACCCTGAAGGTTCGCAGGCCCCTGAGAGCGAGGACTGTGCGGGGGAGGCCAGCACGTGGGCACGGGGCCCTCAGGGAACAGCCAAGCTGGTGGAGGGGCGGGGAGAGGGGCAGCAGGGGGTGTTCCCGCACCGTCTCCACAAGACCGGGCCATACGACCCCTGGCCTTCAGGGACCAGCGCTCCCACTGGCAGCAGCTGTGCTGACCCCAGGGATCCCTCTGCCCGCCCCATCCTAGGGATGGTCCCCTCTGGAAGGGCCCTGGCCGGCTGCCCCCCACAGCAGGGTCCTCCGCGCCCTCCCACAGGTGTATGACTGTGAGCTGGAGGCTGTGCCAGCCTTCCAAGGCCTGCAGGACTTCTGCCAGACCTTCAAACTCTACCAGGAACGGCCCAGACTGGACAGCCCTGTGGTAGGGGAGTTCAAGGTGTGTGTCCCACCCTGCGTGGCTGCACCCGTCACCCTGGGCCCCTTCTGCCCGGGGGAAGACTCTGCTAGGAGCCCTGGTTCTATATGTTCATTGTGAGGATGGGCATGGAGAGCTTGACAGTCTTGGGAGTGGGGGGCAGAGACTGACCTCTGCAGGGACTCAGGGTTGCCTCCCCTGACGCAGGAAGGGCTAGGGCTTTTCAATCCCCGCTCAGGCTCAAGAGCTTTTGAAAAGAAGTGCGGACCTGGAGGGGTGGATGGCGGTGGAAAGAGAGCTCCCTTCAGCAGAAACCGGGAGCTCAGTTCCTGCATTAACATCCCTCTGAATGCCCTTCCTGATCACCCCTCTTGAACATCATGGTCCTGGCTGAGCATCTCTGCAGCACTTGCCCCCACCGGTCCTTGTGGGTTTCAGGTCCTGCCATCCTCAACACAACCCACCCTTCTGACTGGGGACCCGGGGCCCCTCCTGGAGGGAGTTAACAGCCAGGCCGCTGCTGCCAGGCTGGCGGCCAAGACCTTCCCTCCCTGACACATGCACAGGGCCAGTTCCGCGTCTACCCCTTTCCTGAGAACCCGGAAGCTCCCAAGCCCCCTCGCCAGTTCCCGCTTTGGCCTAAGAAAGAGGACTTCCCTCAGCAGTGCGTGGTGCGGGTGTACATTGTGCGAGCCTTCCACCTGCAGCCCCAAGACATCAACGGCCTGGTAACCAGCATCCCCGCCCTCCCCACCCCGACACCTCACTCTGCACCCCAGCATCCCGGAGCCCCTCAGGCTGATGCCCAGACTGCAGACTTCCCAAAGGCCCCGTCTGCACAAGGGGCTCCTCTCTGACTCACTCCTGCCCTCCCTGGCCAACCCGGGCTGATTCCTATTTCCTGTCCTCCCCTCACTTCTGTCTGAACCCCAGTGTGACCCTTACGTGATCCTGAAACTGGGACAGACGATGCTTGGCAACCGGGACAAGTACCAGCCCAACACTCTGGACCCCATCTTTGGCGTGTGAGCCGCCCCAGCGCGCCCGGTCCCACAGCCCTGCTCTCATCCCCTGCGGGCCGGGAGAGAATGCTCATGTTCCTTTCTCGCTTCTGCGTTCCTAGCGCCGTGTTCAACAGATGGACAAAGCACCAGCACCAACGGGCAGCCCAGCCCTCCCCTCCCTCTCAGACATGTTGCCCTGGAAGGGAGCTCAGAGTCCTGCACCCCAGGCCTATCAAAAATTACTCCCAGGATTTCCCTGGTGGTCCAGTGGCTAAGACTCTGCACTCCCAATGCAGTGGGCCTAGGCTTGATCCCTGCTCAGGGAACTAGATCCCACATGCCGAAACTAAGAGTTCTCACGCCACAACTAAAGATCCTGCGTGCCACAACTAAGACCCAGAGCAGCCACATAAATTAAAAAAAAAAAAAAAAAAGTCACTCCCACCAGGACTGAGGGCTGGTTTTTGGCAGACGACAGTCGTGCCAGGCTCTGCTCTCTATATTCACCGGGACCAAACAGAGTTGGGCACAGGCTTGTGGGGCCAGGGTGCTGGAGACGGAGGCAGGTGGATAACACAGTCAGTCTCTGTGTCTCCAACACCCTCCCCCTAGGATGTTTGAACTGAGCTGCATCATCCCCCTGGAGAAAGACCTAGAGATCCAGCTATATGACTTTGACCTATTCTCACCTGATGATATGATTGGAACCACAGTCATTGACCTTGAAGACCGACTCCTGTCTGGCTTTGGAGCTCGTTGTGGGCTCTCCAAATCCTATTGCCAGTGAGGACCTGAGCTGGGGTGGGGGGGGGGGNTCCCCTTGAAGACACCTGCATCCCGGGCTGGGGAGCTGGGGCCCAAACCCACCTGCACACCTGCTCCCAGCGCCAGTCGGCCTGCAGCGGGCAGCAGGGGCTTCTCCGGGACTCGGGCCTCCCCGCAGGTCAGGGCCCTTCAGGTGGCGGGACCAGATGCCCCCAAGCTTGCTTTTGGAGCACCACGCCAAGCGGAAGGGACTGCCGCCGCCTCTCTTCAGCCCCGAAGGCGACTCTGTTTATTACAACGGGAAAAAATTCCAACTGCAAAGCTTTGGTGAGAAGCGTACACACCTGCCAGCAAGCGCAGGGCCAGGCCTCTGCCTCCAGTGGGGCTCAGGATGGAGGAGTTGCCAGAGGGCATTGCCCCCACCCTGTCCCTGCACACATGCCAAGTCGTTTCAGTCGTGTCTGACTCTGTGTGACCTATGGACTGCAGTCCGCCAGGCTCCTCTGTCCATGGGATTCTCCAGGCATGGAGTCGGTTGCCATTTCCTGCTCCAGGGGATCTTCCCAACCCAGGGATTGAACCCACATATCTCAAGTCTACTGTATTGGCAGGAGGGTTCTTTACCACCAGTGCCACCCTGTCCACTACCCTCCTGTAAAGGATAACCAAGTCCGCCTCCCAGGCTGAGGGTGGAGAAGGCGGGGCCCATGTGGGGGATGGGAAGGCCCCTGACTTCCTGATACCTCCTACCCGTCCCCTCTCCCCATACAGAACTCAAGCCCCCTAGAGCGCGCTTCTTGGGATCTAAGAAAGAGCGCCTGGCTCTGTACCTCCTGAACACCCAGGGGCTGGTACCCGAGCATGTGGAGACCCGCACTCTGTACAGTGACAGCCAGCCGGGCATCGACCAGGTATGAGCCTTGCGGGGCCGGAGAAGCCCCACCACCTAGGATGAGGGGCAGGAGAGGCCAGGCATCCACCGGTGTGAGTGCAAAGATGACAAACGTGTTCTGAGCGTGCTAAGAAGCCGCAGCGATGTCACGAAGAGTGGAGAGAGTCAGAGCTGGAAAAGCTGCTGATGAAAAGCTGAGGCCCCGTGTCTGCTGTGGAAGTGTTTGGGGGCCCCACCCGCCAGGGTCAGCACTGCCCGAGTTTCCCCTTGACGGAAGGTGGGAAGGATGGAGCTGGGGTCAGAGTGCAGACATCATAACCCTGACTTGGCTGTGAAATGCAGGCTGTGTTTTCTGCACAGCAAGGAACCCCAAACAAAAGGAGTAAAAATCCCCACAGGCACCCCAGTGATCCCCCATCCTCCAGCCACCAGAATCGCTCATCTCATTCTCCCCATCTCTCAGGATGTTCTACATAACAAAGTGCTCCGCTGAGCACTTTTTTAAAACCACCCTCACTGAACTTGTCTTCTCAGTCAATGGGGCCAGTTTCAGAATAAAACCAGGTCACGTGGTTTGAAGGACTCTCACTGTTGGTAGCTCTTGTTGTTGCTGTTGTCCAGTTGCCAAGTCGTGTCTGATTCTGTGACCCCATGGACACGCCAAGCTTCCCTGTCTTTCACCATCTTCCAGAGTTTGCTCAAACTCACGTCCACTGAGCCAGTGATGCTGTATAGTCATCTCACCCTCTGTTGCCTCCTCTTCCTCCTGCCGTCAGTCTTTCCCAGCATTAGGGTATTTTCCAATAAGTTGGCGCTTCACATCAGGTGGCCAAAGTGTTGGTGACTCTACTTTCTTGCTTTCTTCTCTCCCCTTTCCTCACCGGTTCTATCCCTTCTTGCCTAGACCTCTGCGCTTGGTGGAAAGCTTGACATCCTTAGGATGTGGTTCCACACATGAAATGACCTGGAGATTACCTAGCTTACCCTCATTCAGGGCCACTAGGTGGTTAATCAACACAGCCCCCATCCCATTGGTAGCTCTGTGCAGAGGCTGTCAGGCAGGGCCTGTTAAATGGCATCCCCCTCTAGACCCCAGTGACATGTGATACGCTGGCATCACAGCCCCCAGCTTCACAGCCATTGCACAGCACCAGTGTGTTCTCCCCGCCAAGAAAAGAAACAAGTGGAAGCTAGTGCGTGGTGCACTGACTTCCTATCTGAAGTCCATCGACCTCCCAGATCCCCCAGTGCTTAGTGCTGGAAACAGCCTCAGCAGGCCTGGAACCTGGGACGGGGACCTCCCCCCAGGCCAGCATGCCGAGAGTGGGGAGTAGTGAGGGGGGCCGGGGCGGGGGGGGAGGTTGGACAAGCCCAGCAGCTCATCTTTGTCCACTCTAGGGAAAGGTGCAAATGTGGGTGGACATCTTCCCCAAGAAGCTTGGGCCTCCCGGCCCCCCAGTCAACATTGGGCCCAGGAAGCCTAACAGGTGAGTGACGGCAGGCAGGGCGGGGCACCAGCAGGCTCCAACGCCGAGTCACCGTGACACTTGCCCTCTGCTGGGGATCTAGGGCGCCGCCTCCTCAGGCGGCCCCCCAAGCCCAGCCTGACTTGGGTGGGCACGGAGCACAGCTACCCCCACCCCCCGGCCTGTTACCTTTCTGAGACTGCGGTTGGGGAGCCATTCCTCCACAAAGCTTCAGGTAACAGTGGCTGCAGGTATGAGCTCCGCTGCATTATCTGGAAAACCACCCTCGTGGACTCGAAGGAGAACAGTTTAAGTAACGACAGGATAAACGACATCTATGTCAAAGGGTGAGGGAAGGAGCAGAGTGCCCTCCAATGTGCCTAGTTCCGTCATTCCTGGGGATGCTCCTGATCTCGGGGTGTACTGGGCAGCCCTCCCCCCGGGGTGCCAGCTCAGGGAGTGGGGACAATGAACCAAGAACCCCAGGTGAGGAGACTCTGGCCCCAGGTGGCTGTTCGGGCTGGAGAAGGACATGCAGAAGACGGACGTCCACTACCGCTCCCTGACGGGGGAGGGCATCTTTAACTGGCGGTTCATCTTCACTTTGGACTACCTGATGGCAGAGCATGTGTGTGTCTTGAGCGAGAAGGTAACATGCCCAGGCTTCCCAGGTGGCACAATGGTAAAGAATCCACCTGCTGATGCAGGAGACACAGGTTCGATCCTTGGGGTCGGGAAGATCCACTGGAGGAGGAAATGGCAACCCACTCCAGTATTCTTGCCTGGAGCATCCTGTGGACAGAGGAGCCTGGCGGGCTATAGTATTGCAAAGAGTTGGACTTGAATGAATGACCGAGCACACAGCCAACAGGCCCGAGGTGGGGTGGGGGGTGAGACACGCTCCCTCCCCTCCCCCCGGAGCCTGCGAGTTGCACAGAGACGCTTGGAATGTGGCCTTGGGTAGAAACCCTCCTGCCCCTCCTCCTCCTCCATGACCGTCCCATCACTGCTGGGTGGTGAGTGGCTCAGCGGCCATGAACTCTCAAGAGCCAGGCCAGTAATACATGCTCTGCCACCCTCCAGGACTACATATGGAGCCTGGACCCCACGGTGACGAAGTTCCCAGCCCGGCTCATCATCCAGGTCTGGGACAACAACATCATCTCCACGGATGACTTTCTAGGTGAGACCCCAGCGCGGGGCCCGCAGCCACAGGGCAGGGAAGCGCCTGTGTCACTGACGACCTTTCTCTGGGCTCAGGGGTCCTGGAGCTGGATTTATCAGACATGCCCCTCCCGGCTCCGCACTCCAGGCTGTGCTCTGTCAAAATGCTGGAGGCTGACCCCAAGTGGCCGCACTTCCTCCGGCACAAGCACTCGTCTCTCTTTAAGATGAAGAATGTGGCTGGCTGGTGGCCTTGCCAGGTCCTCGATGGTGGCAAATGGCGCTTGTCGGTATGAGCTAGGCGGATGCCTGTTGCCTGGGTTACAGGGCTGACTGCTGAGCCACACTGTTTGGTCGCTAAGTCCTGTTCAACTGTTTGCGACCCCATTGACTATAGCCCACCAGGCTCCTCTGTCCATGGGATTTCCCAGCAAGAGTACTGGAGTGGGTTGCCATTTCCTTCTTCAGAGGATCTTCCCAACCCAGGGGTTGAACCCAAGTCTCCTGGCTTGGCGGGTGGATTCTTTACCTCGGAGCCACCTGGGAAGCCCACTGTCACATAACCTGGCTCTAACAGACTTCTGGGGGCCTGAGCTGAACCCCTTTTCCCTTCTGAACCCGGGAAGAGGCAGGTTCTTGTTCCTGCCATCTGAACTCAATGCCCCCACAACCCATGGTGTTTCTAGGGTAAAGTGAAGATGACCCTGGAGATACTGACAGAAAAGGAAGCCTTAATCAAGGCGGCAGGACGAGGCCAGTCAGAGCCCAACCAATACCCTACACTCCATCCTCCCTTGTAAGGGTCCCGCAGGGTTAAGGCACTCTTCCTGGTTCAAAAAGTTGAGCTGCTGGGCCTGGCAATTGGTGTGGGGGTGGTGCTGGGGAGGGGGCTGAGACGTAAAGAGGGATACTTAACCCACCTGCCAACTCCAGCTCAAAGCTCAGTTATAATCAGGGGAGTGCAGCTGCCGGGAGAGAGGGGTGGGCAGAAGCACAGCTGCTTTTTTTCAAATGAAAGCCTTTTTGCTCTGGGTTACTTGACCTGAAGGTTCCCTCTGCCCTCTTCCCTTCTCTGCCAACCCTGCTCCCGGACAGACGCACCCACACCCTGTTCATGTGGATCCGGTCACCCATTGGGAGATTCATCCGTGTGCTCTGGAGACGCTACCGCTTCAAAATCATAGCCACCACCATCATACTCCTCATAGGGCTTCTGCTGTTCAAGTTCATCTACTCGGCTCCGGTGAGTGACAAGCCCAGGGCACAGGCGAAGGTGCCATGCCTCCTGGACGACCTGAGACAGCGATTTTGGGCAGCTACTTCAGGCTGATTTTTGCTCGTTCTCTCTAGAACTATTTGGCCATGAGCTGGATCAAACCGGAACTTCGGCTCAATGCCCCCATTCAAATATACGCCAATATCATCAATGCGCCAAACACCAGTAGCGCCAACTCTTCCAACCTCACCACTCCCCAGCAGAACCTGAAACCTACAACGGCCCTCAAGCTGAAACACCTCCAGGGACACGTGACGCGCCTGCGGGATAGTCTTCCAGAACTTCTGGCCCCACAGAACTAATCCCCCTGGACAGCCTGGCTCACAGACAGCCCTACCCTTCAGCTTCCTACCAGTTCCTTGTTTCTGGGGACTCAGAATAGTCTGGCCATTCTGTTCAGAGACCACTTCCAACAAGCAGAGCTGTAATTTTCCACTGAAATAAAGAGCATTTGTAACAGAGAGGCACCTTGTATCTGGGCGGCTGACACCACCACAGGCAAGGCCAGCCTCTGGGACGGGACCCAGAAGGGCGGGAGGCACCTCGCTGAGCCTCCAGGGCTCATCCACTTTGTGGGCCTCAGGCTGCAGGAAACAGAAGGCCAGGGCATCCGCGAGGAGAGATGGCTCCTGGAGGGTAAGGCCGCTGCCCTCCCCCATCACGTGGCCAGGTGGCCCCCTCGCCCTGGGACACAGCTGGGACTCCAGGGCCCAGAGCAACATTGGGCCCCACTCTTGACAGGCAGGATGCCCTGGGGGCTCAGCTGGTAAAGAATCTGCCTGCAGTGTGGGAGACTGAGTGCGATCCCTGGGTTGGGAAGATCCCCTGGAGAAGGGAATTGGCATGTTTCTAGGACAGAAGGCAAGAACCGAAGCAAAAGCTACAATGCCAGTCAGATGGTTTCCTCACATATGTTGCTCTGAGGCTGGCCCCGAGTGGGGGGCTGGGGGTAGTATACCATCTTTCACATCTTCTCGCCCTCCTCAGAGCCTCGAAAAATTCCTGAGCTAGAATCACACGGAAGTCACAAGTGTGGTCTCCTCTGTGCTGAGATCGCCCTCCTGCACCCACGTTCGAGCCAGTTCATGAGTCCAACCTTGTGCCCCCACCACAGAGGTCTATCCAATCTCCCCTGGAACTCAAAAACACAAAACAGCCATCTGCTTCCTTAGTTTCAAAGAAACTGGTCTGAAGGCCCATGGCAGGAGGTCGGAAGGGCCCCACTGTCACCCCACCTGCAGGAGAGATCTACAGCTCGTGGAAAGGATGTGAGGAAGCCAAAGACAGCAGAAACCACCACCCCCACCCCCTGCCAGCCGAGGGACCCCCCCGCCCCCTTGCCTTCTGCACGGAGCAGAGGGCGCTCCCATCCCAGGCAGGGCAAGGGTGGATGGGCTGAAGGTTTAGCCAAACCCACCCCAAAGGAAGGCCACACGGAAGGTCATGTTTGGTTTTCATCAGCCACATTAAGACTCTCCCTCGGGCTACAGAAGCACAGGGCTAGGAGAGCTGAGTCCAGACCCTCCAGGGAGAGTCCACCGGTCAGCAACAGAATCACAGGGCAGACAGGCGAGCAGTGCCCGACTCCTTGTCAGGTAAGGCAGTGGCGTCAGGGCTGACCCAGACAGGAGGATGCTCAGGCTCTGTCGCTCAAACAACAGTGAACTCTTCCAGGCACAGGTGACCAGGATCCACTGCTTCCAGACTTAGAACCACCATTTCTTATCACTTAAGAAAGAGAAGCAAGAGTTCCTCTTTGGGGATGTCCAAACTGAGGCTATAGAAGAAAGGTTCCTTACATTTTGACACTCTAAGTAGGATTCCAAAAGTTAAGATGAATATGAAACATGCAGCGAAGCAGGCTCTGGAGCATCCAGAAACACCTCCACGTCCTCAGGTCACATGGTAGATGTTGCTTTCAGTGTCAAAACGTGGAGCAGTTTCACCGTTAGCCCCACAGCACCCATGACGTCTCCCATGTTTCTCCTGACTTCACACACCTGACCAGGGGCCTAAAGGGGCCTAGTTGGGAGTGTTACGAACCCACCAACAGAACCAAGATCCACCCTCAAGAACAAAGGCTAGAGTGGCAAGCCCCAGCAGAAGGCCCCCTCCCCATGGCCACCTAGCGAGGGTCAGTGACACTCGAGTGTGTCCTACAGTCCCAGGCCCTAACGGAGAGGCAGCCAGGTGTCTTTCCCAGCTCAGCTTGCATCTGCAGAGGATGATGGAAGGAGGGAGAGGCAGGGAAGAGATTTTCATCCAGATTTCCAAGGAAAGTGCCTCAGGAGGACAGGGGCTTGGACATAAAGCAAAAACCAGTGGCTGGCAGGCCAGAAGGTGTGAGGAGTGACCACTTTCTAGCCTTTGAAAGACTTACAAGTGAAGCCCAAGGGCCCTGTGAGCCCAACAGCAAGGCAGCCTGGGCTAGGAAACTCCTGCCGGTGGTTCTGGCATCATGGCGGCCCAGGTTCTCGCCAGCCCTCTTCACTCCCAAGGGGCGGGACCTTGGGGAAAGGCACATCGCAGCAGTGTCACCCAACGGGGGGCTTCCCGAGCCAGAGCTGGCCATCCTCACAGGTGACGGGGGAGCCAGCGTCCCTGCCCGCAAAGCTCCAGTGACAGACCCGCACCCGTAACCAGGTGCTGGCGACAGGAGAAGGCCCGCCCGGCCGGGAGGGTAGGTCAGCGGCGCTCCTCCCGCGCCTCCTAGGGACAGCCACACAGGTCAAGGTTGTGGGGGGCACTCAGTAGAAACGCTTCCGACTCTGGTCCTGCCATTTGTTGTAGAGGATGATCCCGATGACAATGGCAAAGACGGAAAACACCAGAGAGAAAAAGACGATGAGAAAGAGGGCCAGGCCGCTGAGGGGAGGCAGCGGGGCTGTCACTGAGGAAGCAAGAGAGAAGCAGGTCAGGAGGAGGGGGCCACTCGGGGAGGGCAGGACCGGCTGACGAGCGGTTCCCGTTTCTGGGAGCCAGAGATCCAGTATGCCCTCTCCACATGCCACATTTAAAACCCAAGCAGCCCTGAACTGCTCGTCCGTAACATGGGGACCAGTGAGGGCAGGGCCAGTGCTCAGGTGCCCCGGAGAACAGAAAGGAGTCAGCCCGCACTGCTGGGCTGCACGGCCACCCGGCCCCCCAGTGGCCCTCACCCCCCCGGCCGGCCATGGGGCCCTTTCCCGGGACCCGTGCTCACTCTGGGGCAGCTTCATGTTGTCCACTGAGGGCAGGAACACGTCGCGATGCAGCTTCTCCTCTTCCGGGGTCCTCTCCACTGTCAGCTCAAACAGCTTCAGGGAAATGACATCGTGGTTGTCTAAAGACAGAGAGAATGACAAAGGGATGACTCAAGGCACCCTGAGAAGAATGTCTTGGTTTAAGCTTCTAGTCCACAGCTAACACATAGTGACCTGAAAAAAACCCACCACCAAAACCTCGTTTCTCATCTAAAAATAAGAACAGGTAACAGGGAATACTCTACATTATCCTAAATAGAGAGTTTTCGTCGACAAGCATGCGCTACCTACATAATTTTGTTTATTTTACTTCTGGCTGTGCTGGGTCTTTGCTGCTGCGTGGGCTTCTCACTGCAGCGGCTTCTGCCCTTCTGGAGCACGGGCTCTGGAGCACGGGCTTCAGCGGTTGTGGCTACGGGTTTAAGATGCTCCACAGCACGTGGTACCTTCCCGGATCAGGGACTGAAGCCACGTCGCCTGCATTGGCAGGCAGACTCTTTACCACTAAGCCACAAGGGAAGCCCCCTATATAATTCCAAAATTGAGTGATAATACAAGAACTAAGCCCCAGTCACAGGTAAAACCTTCTAGTGAAAGGAGACACAGCAGCCCCACAGCTTCCCTTTAACGTGGACTACACACGTGAGCAAAAGAGGAGAGGGCCATGAGCAGGGCACAAGTCCTGGCCTGAACACACTTCCCTTCTGGGCTCTTCCCAGTTCCTTGTGACCATGACCCTGAATCTCAATATTAATGACCAGACAAGGATGCAGGAGTTAGGGGCTCAACTTTTTTCTCTCCCCTTTTAAAGTAAGATTATAAACTCACAGATTCAAACATATTTGCTGTGTTTCAATCACTGCGGATGGTGATTGCAGCCATAAAATTAAAAGACGTTAGCTCTTTGGAAGAAAAGCTATAACAAACCTGGACAGCTTATTAAAAAGCAGAGACACCATTTTTCCAACAAAGGTCCATGTAGTCAAAGCTATGGTTTTTCCAGCAATCAGGTATGGATGTGAGAGATGGACTATAAGGAAGGCTGAGCATCAAAGAATTAATGCTTTTGAACTGTGGTGCTGGAGAAGACTCTTGAGTCCCTTGGACAACAAGGAGATTAAACCTGTCAATCCTAAAGGAAATCAACCCTGGATATTCATTGTAAGAACTGATGCTGAAGCTCCAATCCTTTGGCCACATGATGTGAAGAGCCAACTCACTGGAAAAGACCCTGATGCTGGGAAAGATTGAGGGCAGGAGAAGGGGACGCCAGAGGATGAGATGGTTGGATGGCATCACCGACTCAATGGACATGGGTTTGGGTGGACTCCAGGAGTTGGGGATGGACAGGGAGGCCTGGAGTGCTGCAGTCCATGGGGTCGCAAAGAGTCGGACATGACTGAGCGACTAAACTGAACTGAACTGAAGGATGAGATAGTTGGATGGCATCACTGACTCAATGGACATGAGTTTGAGCAAACTTTGAGACAGTGAAGGTCAGGGAAGCTTGGCGTGCTATGATCCATGGGGTTGCAAAGAATCGGACATGACTGAATGACTGAACAACAAAATACATTGAAGTTGTACCTCTTACTGATGCACAACTCAAACCAACTCGACCCAGTGGGAGCCTAGTCAAGTGGACTCCTGAGTCCTTTTACCTGAATCTAAAAGTTTTTGATATGTTCTCTGCTTTTCTGGGAAGTTTTTAGCTTGTATTTCCTATCTTAGACCTGGCATGAGACACATCTCCAAGAAGCTTTTATTCTCGTTGGTGGGAATTGGTATTAAGAGGCCACAAATATGAGGGTAGGGGTGCTCAGTGCTACTAGGTTGTTACTGCGGACTGGACTTCTTACCATCTGTATCATTAGGGTGACATTTACAGCTGTTTGTGGGTTCTTAGAATCTTTAGCAGGTAAAACCAGGTTAAAAAAAAAAGCACAAAAAACTGGATTTACCTTCAGTTAGAAAAAATGTTTTCTCTGTCAGGATTGAGACTGAACAACAGGACAGCCCACATTTTCCCCTGACAACAATGGGCCAAGGCTGAGTAGATGCTGCCCGTTTCAGATGGGCATCTGCCTTCCTGTTTTGCCACAAGAAAGTTCTATCTCATACCAGCTTCATTCATAATACACTATATTAATCAAAAGAACCAAAAGTTTCTTTACCTCAAAAGACGTCATGATTGAGGCTTAGGGGGAGAATGGACATAAAAGAGAAACTTTGGAAACAAGTAGGTAGAAAATCCAGAGAAGATAGAAAAGTCTGGTTCTGCTAAGGTCACGTAAGTCAAGTAAGGCAGGAGTTTCAGGGTAACTGATCAAATGAGCTCAAGAGAAGACAAAGAGCAAACACACAGCAGAGAAACAGAGGGAGCTTTTATGAGAGCAGTGCCATGGCAGAGACGCAGGTCCGAACGCAGCATTTACCATGCTGGTGATTTACAGAGGTGGATGGCCTGTAAGCAGAAGCCTCTGTACACACAACACATTCAGAAGTCTGAGCGCAGGGTCTTCCCTTTCAGTAGCTAAGACTCCGTGCTCCCAGTGCAGGGGACGCAGGTTCGATTCGACTGGGGAACTAAAATCCCACGTCTTTGGGCAACTAAGCCCAAGAGTCACAGTCACCCAGCTTGCAAGCACTGTAGTCCACATGCCACATGGAGAGACGCCCCAGTGCAGCCAAACTATAAATAAATAAAATGTAGGTTTTATTTAAAAAAAAAGAAATCTGAGCACAAAAGAGTCTGGGGGTCAGTCAAGGAAAAGCTTTGTGAGAAGGGGAAGCCAGCACATTGGGTGAAGGGACGTGCCTGTGGAAACAGGCACGAGAAAAGGGAAAGCACAGACCTCAAAGCACAGACTGGAAGCACTGGCTTGATGAAGAGGCGAGCACTGCTTGCTGTCAGCAGCAGATCGCTCCCAGACAGGACTGTGCGAGACGACCCCAGGCCTGGGCAATCTGGGCTCGACACACAGGAATGCAGGAAGGGGAGCACGCGTGGGCACCCGCTTGCCAGAGCTCTGCCTAGCTGGCTCTCAGGCCCGGGCCTGCCTAGCGAGACGTGACCTGAGTCAGGGCCAGTAAGGAGTGTGCAGGGCAGTACCCGAGAGATCGCCCGTGATGGACGAGGTGCCAAAGTAGTAGCCCCGGGGCAGGCGGACGCCCGGCACCTCTATGCAGTCCCTCCACTCGTGCTTGCCGTCGATGTCCATCATTATCTGCAACACAGAGAGCGGGAGGCAAGTCAGGGCCGGGCCCCAGCAGCCTGCACTGCCGACGGGCGGCGTGCCCGGAACGGACTCACCGTCAGGTGCCTCTTGACGTAGCGGATCACAAGGAAGGTGTCGTAATGGAGGTTGCGGACGATGGCCGTGCAGCCCCCCAGCTCTGTAGGCCGCCCATCCCGCTCGTGATCGTAGCTGAGCGAGCCGTTGTTCACCATGGCTGAGATGTAGGGGAACACCCGCTAGGAAGGCAGGGGAGGAAAAGCAGAGGGCAGTGAGGAAGCTCTTGCAGGAACGCCTGTGCAAACAGCAATGGGACTTCTGCACACAAAGCTGAGCTCTTCACGACAGACCGGACGACCACTCTGCCTTGTCCCTAGCAGCCTCCAAGGGCCCACGCTCAGAGGGTCACTCAAGGGACAAGGCCCAGAGGTGACTGACCTCAGTACCTGCCTCCAGGAATCCTCCTCCCATCTGGGGTGGGTCCGAAATGGCCCCTCTGACACTCTGGGGTCTGACTGGAATCCTCCCAGAGGTTAGCACCTGGCACTTACATTCTGCCCAAGACTGGTTTTCTTCTTACTTGTATGTGCACATGTGCTAAGTTGTTACAGTCACGTCTGACTCTTTCCAATCCTCTGGACTGTAGCCCAGAGGCTCCTCTGTCCATGGAATTCTCCGGGCATGAATACTGGAGTGGGTTAATATGCCCTTTTCCAAGGGATCTTCCCGATCCAGGGATCGAACCCGAGTCTCCTGTGACTCCTGCATGGCAGGCAAATTCTTCACCATTGAGCCCACTGGGGAAGCCCCATGTGTATGTGTGTGTGTGTGTGTATACACACACACACACACACACATGTCACCGACTGCCAAGTAACCGTCTTGAAACATCATTTATCATGCCTCTGTGTATGTGTCCACCTTAGCACCACCTCTTCCCCTACGAGGGCAAGTTTGCTTTAGTTTCCCATGACAGCTGACGGACAAACTCGAATGAACTTTTTGGCCAACCCAATATTTGGTGCACCTAGGTATTCTGAAAGTACCTGTTCCCTCAGGGAACTCTTTCCATTTAGGATAGCGCCTTTCAATTCTAACATTCTATAAGCACATGATGTGAAATGGATCAGGACTCAGAAAGGACAATGCCAGAACCAGGTGGCCTGGTGATGTTCTCCAGCCACAGGTGACTCTCCTCAGTCAAAAGACCTTCCGGCCCTTCAACGCACACAACTTCTCCCAGTAATACTCAGTGGGCAAGGTTCTCCTACTGAAAGTCTCCCCGCAGCCCACCCATCTTCCCACCTACTTCGGAGACCCTCTCTCTCCAATAGCCCTTGCGGAGCAAATTCTTCCTTAGAAATGACAAGCCAACCATTTCAGAATAAGCCTGGAACTGAGGCAGTGAAGAGACAGACACGGTGATGAAAGGACAGGAAACATGAGACATGCCACTTCTCTGGGGAGTTCCTCACTGTTCTAGACAATCAACATGCAAGATGAAAATGCAGGCAGAACCGGTGACTCTGGAGACAATGGCCACACAGACTGTGAACAGTCGCAAATGTTGGATGGGCACACAAGGAAGTCGGGGACGGCCACAGTGAGTCAAAAATTGAGTACCTGGACTCCTGGAGAATACCGCCTCTTCTGGGCCTGAGAGGGTCCAGCAGGTTATTATAAAAACAAGAGAGGGCACAGAAGACAGGAGACCAAGTCAGAAAGAAACATCCGTGGAAGAGCTATGACCCAGCTGTAGTGGAAGAGCAAACCAATCTCAATCCCCAAATAGAATTTTAGGGTCCATGGAGGCAATTCCACAAGTCCTCAGGCCCCTCAAAATTATAGGCAAAAAACTACTTGTACATTTTCTAAGGAGAGGGTCTGCTGTTATCATCAGATTCTCAAGGTGGTCCACTAGGAAGAACTCTCTAACCCACACAGGGTCCTAAAACTTTCAGAACTTTATAAAAACACCCAGCATCACATTCTCTAAGCAGGCCTCACTTATGTCTCTGACAGTCCAAAGGTCAGGCCATGAGTGTGTCTGTGCCCAGACAACAGTACTTCTGTGGCAAGGAGAGAGACGAGGGTGATAAATAGGGCTAGAGTCTTCCAAATTCAAGATGTCCTTTACTGTCCTTTATTTTCGTTTATTGCTCTTGCCCAGAAGACAAAAATCCCACCACTTGAGAGACTATCAAATTAAATCTAATCCAAAGGGATCATTTACTCTCTAATTGAGCCTTATGGACATATACCTCCAAACAGTTACTGTTATTCTAACCTACAAGATGCGGGCAAGAAAAAGCTCCGTGGGAACACTGCAGCAGGACAAATTTAGAAAAGTCACAAGGTTCAAGGGTGTTTAGCTTTGCTCCAAAAAAACTGCTACAGTTCTCAACACCAGTAGTAAGAGATACCTGCAAAAGCTCAGTTTAGCCCTGCCCTACTGTGGGCCAACGGGTAGAACCCAAAGCAGTCCTTTCTCTAATACTGGGTATGCACCTAGTATGAGCCAGGCACTGTCCCAGACGCTGGACACTCAGTGGAAAATAAGCTAGGCAGATGTCTGCTCTCATGGAGCTGACATTAGAGGGGAGGAGACATACAATCAATCTTGTTGTTGTTCAATTGCTCAGTCAGGTCCGACTCTTTGCGACCCCAAGGACTGCAGCACACCAGGCTTCCCTAACCTTCTCTATCTCCCAGAGTTTGCTCAAACCCTTGTCCATTGAGTTGATGACACCATCCAACCATCTCATCTCTGTCACCCCCTTCTCCTCTTGCTCTCAATCCTTCCCAGCATCAGGGTCTTTTCCAGTGAGTTGGCTCTTCACATCATGTGGCCAAAGGATTGGAGCTTCAGCTTCAGTCCTTCCAATGAATATCCAGGGTTGATTTCCTTTAGGATTGACATGTTTGATCTCCTTGTTGTCCAAGGGACTCTCAAAAGTCTTCTCCAACACCACAGTTCAAAAGCATCTATTCTTTGGCGCTCAGCTTTCTTATGGTCCAGCTCTCACATCCAAACATAACTACTGGAAAACCATAGCTTTGACTATATGGACATTTGTTGGCAAAGTGATGTCTCTGCTTTATAAAATGCTGTCTAGGTTGGTCATAGCTTTTCTTCCAAGAAGTAACTGTCTTTTAATTTCATGGCTGCAGTCATCCTCTGCAGTGATTTTGGAGCCCAAGAAAATAAATCCATCACTGTTTGAGACAGTGATAAATGCTATGATGAAAATAATATAGGTAATACAATATAGAGGAGACATATACCTGAGGAGACAACATCTGAACAGAGGAGATTAAGCAGTTAGAGGGAATTCACCAAGAAATCTGAGGGCTGAAGAAGCATGAAGTTAGCATCTTCAGAACTAGGGGTGTCTGCAACTCAGTGAGTGAAGAACAGGCTGGTGGGAGCTGAGTCGGGAGCCAGACCACGCTGGGCCTTACAGGCCACAGTCAGGGTCTTGGGGGAGCCTCAGACTAGCTCCCCAGCTGCTCTCTTATACCACTGGGGGCCTATGTACAGGACCACAGAAGGTATGAAACCAATCAGTGGGTGACTGAATGGCTGGAAAACTACTCTTCCACCACTATCATTTAGGACAAGGGAATTATGAATGTGTTGTCAGCAGTTGACAGAAATGGGCTTCTATAACTTAAGTGAACAATGAGGGAAAAGAAGAGACTGAAAATGCACTCGGGAGCTCTGGTGATCCCAAGTCTTGCTTGATGTTTCAACCCCAGTACCTGTCAGAAGTTTAAGTTGAAACTTTCGAGGGAGTGCTGAGAACAGTGACCCTTAACCTAAGGGGGCCTTGCTCTTGCCAAGGCTGGTGAGGCACCTTCTTTTTCAGCACCCGTCAGAGGTCAGCTGGGCCTCACCATGACCTGGGGGAGCTTTTCAACTGCACATACATGAGGGAACTAGTCAGAGAGCCTCATTCAGCAGGTTTAGAATGGGGCATGGGACTATGTATTTTTTTTAAAAGGCAGGACTTCCCTGGTGGTCCAGCAGTTGAGAAGCTGCCTCCCAAAGCAGGGGACACAGGTTTGATCCCTGGTTGGGGAACTAAGATCCCACCAACCTCGGGTAACAACTAGAGAGCCTGTGTGCCACTACTAAGACCTGATGTGGTTAATTAATTAAAAAAAAAAAAGGCACTATGGATGATTGGGATGTGGCAGGAGAATTTAAGAAATATAGCACTAGACAGGTCTACAGCTTCAAAGTTGGAATCTGTCCACTTCAGCAACTCATGGCTTGGCCTTCAACTTGACACCTCACATTAACCGTAAGTCTTTAAATGCCACTTTAACTTCTATGCCTAGTCAGGAGTTCTTGAAGGGTTTCCTGTGTACCCACTAATTTCACACAGAAGCTAATTTTCTTTCCTTGGAAAGCAGCCTATATACAGCCAGAACCAAAGGCAGAAGAATCACCCTGACTGTGGCAAAGGTGGCAGTTTCATTCCTCTTTTAAGAGTCACCAAAAATTAGGAGCTCCTGCCTGCTGTCCAAATGGTGGTTGTCTGAAGAGTGGGGAAGTGTTTTTAACTTTTTGTACTACACGGTACTATTGTACCTTCAGCATACCTTGAATGGAGACTTGTGAGCTTGTGGGTCCTATGCTAAAACTCCGCAGGTGCAAAGCACACATGCTGCGACTCACTAGGGAGAAAAGGGGGCACACACAGCCCTCTGTAATCAGGGAGACCTGGGTTCTCACTGCAGGCACGCCACTCACGCCTGTGTCATCTCAGAGAGTCTATTTCCTCACTGCAAGCAGGGAGAACACACAGCTCCCAGGGTTCACCATGAAGATGAGGTGAGATATGCAGAGCATTTAGTACAGTGCCTGGTATTCAAAAGGGAGTCAATAAACATTCATTCAATGACTAAGTGAATTTCCAGATCTAAATATTGTTTACAGGTGCTCACATGTAAACACAAAACCAAACATATGTTTTTCAGAGCAGTAATTCCCAGACCACTGGCTGTTATGGACCACTAAAAATCTCCAAACACATAACACATTCTGGGGATTAATAGCTTTGCTTTTTCTTGATTTTTTTTTTTTTTGCCTATTAAATATGTTAAAATACAATTAAAATACAGTAACTATATTATTGTATTTTACAATGACAAGACAGCCATCTAAAATACACATCAATTTGAAAAAGAACATTTTAAATGAAAAAAACCTAAATATTTCATAATAAATAAATAAATTAGTAAAACATTTCACATTTATGAGAAGTCACTTCACTGTTCCTGCTGCCAAACCAGGGAAACTCTGTTACCAACCAACATAAGTCTAAGAACCAGCATCCAGTAGTCACTCTCAGAGCAGGTCTTACCAACCTAAACCACACTGCACTTGAGCACGCTGACCAGGTCTGCTCTCTGGAACCTAGGTGTGAAGACAAGGAGGGTGGGAGGGGAGAGGGAGAGCCCGGAGCCACAAGAGCACTGTCGAGATGCCTGCAAATGTCCCCGGGGACGTCACTCAGTGCTGCGAGTACAAACAGCCAGCACTTCCTGAGAGCTTACTCTGGGCCTAAGAGGTGCGCCTCAACCTTCGCCGCTCACACTATCACAGTGGCACGCGGACGCTGTGCTGTGCCGCAAATTCTCAGCTGTATCCTACTCTTTGCAGCCTGCTGGGCTCCTCTGTCCATGGGATGTCCCAGGCAAGAATACTGGAGTGGGTTGCCATTTCCTCCTCCAGAGGATATTCCCAACCCAGGGATCGAACCCTTGTCTCCTTCGTCGCCTGCACTGCAGGTGGATTCTTTACCACTGAACCACGGGAAAGCCCAGTATGTGAATGCTCTTGTTAATGAGAGGGATCATTCATCTCTGTGGAAGAGGAGATCGTGTCTACAGTTCTACTTTGGGGAACCCATGAACCTCCTAAAGTTGCATGTAAAATCCTATTGTATTCAACTGTAACAGAAATACATTTCTACTTCTCTTGAAAACTAATTCTCACCAATGAAGCTCAGCCTCAATCCCTGATGACATCTGAGAGCTGGCCAATATTCCTGGGACCTAATTTCCAAAGGAGTGTCTCTTGGAAAACACTGCCTCTCCAAGGATTGAGAAAAAACAAACAAAAAACCCCACTAAATCATATCCAAATAGTATAATAAGAGAACTTACGAAGTTATAGAGTTCTTTTAATAATGTAAAAATTCTTTCCACCAACAATAAAGAGACCAAGAGGGATCAGTGTTTTCATCAACATAAAGATTGGAGGGAATGTGTTATTAAATTCACGGCATATTATTGCTTATTTTCTTCCAGTTTCAAAAGAGGAAAAACAATCATTACATTAAAAAAATATGGGAAGCACCTCAAACTCGACTTCCAAGCTGGCCTGATCTGAGAAGAGCAGTGAGCTGCTCACGCCACTCGCCAACCAGCTGTTTCTGCCTCCAGGGGTCTTTTATGACAGCTATATATGGGATTCACCTAGAGGTGTTTGAAAAGGTTAAGCTGCCCATCAGACTCTCCGAGCTTGGGGCCTAGAGAGAAGTAGTTTTAAATGCTCTGCAGATAATTCCAAGAGCAACTGCAGCTAAGGCAGAAAAGAGGTCCCAATTTTAACCACCTGAAACTGATATTTTTGTTTAACATCTACTCTCCTTACAAAACAAGGCCCATCAGATCTTCCCTCTTAAGCAGAATGACTCTTGCCTGATGGTGAAATGGAAGCTAAGAGAGCGTGAATAATTTATTTCTGGGAGAAACAGAGAGCCATGTTTAAAAGTCTAGTCAAGCCCTAAAGCCCACGCATGCTTCAGATGCATTTCTAACCACCACTACTTCCTCAGTGGGACTGCAAACCCTTCTCACGACGTCCCCTCATTAAAATCCTTTCGTGCACTTACCCCCTAAAATACTTATAGCTCCAGACTCCCCGACAGGCACACCGCCCTTCAGAGCACCATGTGCACGCTGAGGGCGAGTCAGCCACACTAAACGGCTCTGCCGCTGGTCTGACAGGTCACCAGCCACCCGAGAGGCTGCTCAGTCATAGTGGCCCGTGAATGTGCTTGGGACGGAAGAGCGTTAGCAGCAAAGAACACAAGGTGAAGGGCGGCCTTGGAACACGGGGAGGCTGAGGGCCCTCTTTTTCTCTCTAGCCTCATCTCTCTCTGACCCCGCCTTTTCCCCTTCACATTCACTGTCCCTTCTCTGACTTTAACACATTAACATACGCTTTTCTATCTGCATCTAATCTAATCTAATTCTGCAGATTTCAAAGTCAATATCACTTCCTGGAGGAAGTCTCTCCCAACCACCATCCCCACCACCACCATCCCCCCCAGGTTAGATGCTTCTGCCAGGTCTTTCGAGAGCACCTCTGCAGAGCCCCCATCAGCACGCTGACACATCAGCGCTCCCGAGTGTGAGGACCACGTGGATCTCACTCACTAATTCCCAGGGCCTGGCACCTCAACAGTGGCTGATGTCTGGCAGACTGAAGAAAAGTCCAGAAGCAACACCGAGAAGCAAGTCTCTAACTGACCCGCAACAAAAGGTTCCTCTCGTAACTCAGGTCTCCCTTTCCACGTCCTTTAAGCCAAACTCTGAATGGAAATGTGAAAAACTGCTGAATCTGGGTGTTGATATACAATGATCTGTTCATCCAATTTTTTTTATACGTTTGAAATTTTTCATAAACAACTTTTGGGGGAAAAAGTAAGTTCTGCTTTCATTTCTAATCATGCCTTTCTTGCTAAATATTATTTAGTGATAGGATACCCAGCAACAACATGTCCTAATCATTTTCCCACCATCTGCTGGCAGAGTCACCAGACAAGAGAGCACAGGCCTGCTGCTAGCATAAGCAAGTACTAGAAAACCCTTATGGTCAGCTAACGAAGTGCAGGATGCTTCTGCTAAGAGCCAGACTGTTGTTGTTTAGTCACTAAGTCGTTTCTGACTCTTTTGTGACCCCCTGGCGGGACTGTAGCCCACCAGGCTCCTCTGGCCATGTGATTTCCCAGGCAAGAATACTCGAGTGGGTTGCCATTTCCTCTTCTGGGTGGTCTTTCCAACCCAGGGATTGAACCCATGTCTCCTGCATTGGCAGGCAGATTCTTTACCACGGAGCTACTGGGGAAGTCAACTGGATCCTCTACCAGGTTTCAACAAAATGCTGAGATTTCATCCATTTCTGTTTACAGCCTTTCCTAGAGGAGACCAGTGTGCAGGTCTGAGAAGAGGAAGAAGAAAAGGATACTGGCAAGGGGGAGGAGCTGCAGAAGAGAGCTCAGCAGTGACACAGGATGTCAGGGGAGTGGAGGCCCAGAATTCAGCTTGCTCTGGTGCTGGCCTAGCCATGCAAGCTCAAGTCTAGTGGCTCCCAATGTGCGCGAGAGGGAACACTGTTTAACACTGAAAAGCCCCCATCACGAGGACCACTCCCAAGACGGTGCCAGTCATGCATGCTCCACCCAGCCATGCATGCTCAAGTCTAGTGGCTCCCAATGTGCGCAAGAGAGAATACTGTTTAACACTGAAAAGCCCCCATCACGAGGACCACTCTCAAGACTGTGCACCATGAACAACTCTCTTCTAGTAAAAAACACTGACACAGACATTAACTATTGAAGTGCAACAGATGAAGAAAATAGAACCAAACCCCTCACTTCCTCTTCCGTGTTCCCGTCTGAACAACATTCCTAAGGCAAAGGGCTGTGATGTCAATTCAATGTGGCTGACCTAAGCTATGACACTGGCCATTACCTCTTGCTGCTTCTCCTCATTGGGATAGGTGTCTACAAATACTCCCAGCCCCACAAATTTGTCCATGTTTCCAAACACAGGCCCTAGAGAGAGAGAACAGATGATGAACAACAGTGAAACAAAGCCAAGAGTTGATAGAGGAATAATACATCACTGTGATGGAGGGAAAAGTGAGATTCAAAGGACCCCAGGCGTCCCTTTAAGATGAGGAAGCAGCTGTAGAAACACCCCGTGAAGGGCTCAGCCTGTAACAAGCATTGAGTAAGCACCTGCAGTTGTCTGTCATTAAAGGGAAGAGAGAGAAGGCCAGCGTCACCGTGCTTAGCACTCGAGCTGCTCCCAGATTTGACCTGGTTGCTAAGGTGCCCCTGAAGAATTCTGCTTCACAAACACTTGTTGATGACTATGCCCCCGAGTGAACTGAATTCCCAAGTTTCTGCTTCTAATTGCAGAAGAGATCAGGTCAGACCAGGCTCAATTTGTCACGTACTTGCAGCAAAGCCTCCAGTACAAAAAGGAAAAATAGGTAAGTCTTCTCCTTTCTCCTGACTTAGGAGTTCTGAGATGGGTCTCTACTCGGGCTCAGGAGAAACCAGTACGCCCAGTGTCAGTATTTGGGAGGGCCAGTGCTTTCCTTCAGCCAATCGGGCCACGAAGTTTCAAAGAGAAAGCGGAAGTAACCAATAAACAAGAAGCCATCCCAGGTTGAGTCAAGGTCAGCTGCTTTTAGGACTCAGACCCCATTCTAGAGACTAGACAGGCCAATGTGTATCCAAACATCAAAGGAGAGGGAAAACCGCTGGCACTGTGAAGTCATGCCCGTCTCCAGAAGAGGGCACGTGAAAAAGCAGGCCTGTCACCCCCCCCACAGAGCAACCCAGCGCCCCAGTACCTGGCTGCATCCGATCCTTCGTGTACCAGATGGCCAAGCCATCCCCGTGCAGGTTCTTCTTCCCTTGCCCGTGGATTCTGAAGTGCACCTGCAACTCCCAGTCTCTCAGGAAACACGGCTAAAGTGAAAGAGACGTTGCAATCAAAGAGAAGCCTGAAACACCAGGCCTCAGGCCCTCATCCACAGTCTACACACTTGGAAAACACACACGCGGGGGACGCGAGGCTAAGAGGTAAAACCAAAATTTAAAACTCGCTAGGGGTTTATGTAGTAAAATTAAACAGATTGAGCCACTTATCTGTATGCGGTATTTAATATGTAAAGTGAATACACCTCCCAATCAGCATCACCATCTCCCAACAGAAACAGGATAGCATCCCAAGGTTGGAAAAGATGAGAGAACTTCATGTTAGACTGCTGTGATCCTATACCCACCCAGCAAAAGATCTCAGCATCCAGGGTAGAGGTGGCTGAATTAATACTCATATGCAATTATGATCACCCCTCTGAGAGAAAGACTCTAAAAAGCTGGGATCTCAAGAAAGGTCAAAGCCTCATTCATTACAAAAAAAAAAAAAAAAAGATAACCTAAGTCATCACACAAAGGTCTCCAGGAATAATGAACATCTGCTATAAACAACTCTAATTAGCTAGACTTGGCTCTATGCCAAGCTGAGGGGCAACCCAGAGTTCCCATGAGAAGGGATAAGCTATGTCCCCACCAGTGTCAGGCCCTCAGCCAAGGAGCAGAACTGCACCAAAGGAGACACCCCCCCCCGCCACCACCACCACCACAGAGACAGCCTTTGGTGGAAAATCATGAAGGAGGTGGGCACTAAACAGTCTCCGGTTTTCCTTTTGAACTGTGTATCAAAACCTTGGGGGAAAAAAAAGGAGACAGAAGTAAGTGGATAATTCAGTGTTCTAAATAGTTGAACACTTTGAAAGAGAAACTAGAGTAGGTATTTGGTTTGGAGAGGCTCCTGGTTAAGCCTCACCGTGAAAAATGAGGGGAAGGAAGAGCAGATAGGCCAGTTCAGGCAAAGGCCCTCCATGTAGATTGTTCAAAAACGAACCAAAAAACCCAGTAGATTGCTCTGGCTCTTGAGCAACAATTATTTTCAGCTTCCGTTTTCAATTTCTGGGAAATCCTTTTAAAGTGCTAGTATTAGTATACAGTCAAAATAAAAGGGGTGTGGACACTTCTGAGTTCACCAAAGAACCCTGAAATCTCCAGTAGCTTTCCCTCCTCTGATAAGCCAAGCCCCCAGTTGCCATCTTGGGTTCTCATCTTTGTGCTATTTCATTTAGATTTCAGGGCAAGAGTGAAATTCAGTGGCAGGAAGCTGCCCCCATAGCCAGTGGGTAAGTATTACGCCTCTGGGAAGACAATGAGCCAAGAGGCATCCGTCGTTCTTACCCTTGGCCTCGTGCAGCATGATGCTATACAGTCCTGCTCAGGGTAATGTCTAACAGTGGGGCTCAAACTTTGCTGCATGTCAGATTCACCTAGGGAGCTTTTAAAAATCCAAGTGTCCAAGCTGTACCCCATTCTAATTAAATTAGAATCTCTAGGGGTGGGACCCAGCCACCAACTCCAAAGGACAGCCAAATTGGAGCACCACTGCTCAAACAAATCCATCCTATTCAAATAACTTAGAAACAATGCTAAGGCTCACTCTGACAGTCAGATAACAAAAAACACAGGTAACAGAGAATCTGAAAAGGAGCAAGATAACTAGATCCTAGACTAGAATCACTGTTACATAAAAGCGTTACATAGAGACAGCTAACAAGATAACAGCAAAGTATCAAGCCTTGGACAAAATCATTTATAATCCATAGACCTGTATCATTGACTCTTATAATAGACATGTAACAAACAACAGCGCGTTTCTGTAACCATCTTAACTTTCCGGAGCATTTTCATGTCTATTGACTTATTTTATTCTCACAGTAACCCTGGTGGGCAAGCAGAAGTGATAAGATGAAGCTCATTTGACAGTTGGAGAAACTGAAAACTGAGCGAGGATAAATAACTGAGGGTCTGTGAGACCAGTAGATTGAGAACGCAAGTCTTTCAGCTGCCAGCCCTCCACTTCTTCTATCTGAACACACTGCCCTGCATTCCGTCCAAGAATGAGCTCAGCACTGCAATCTGGGTTAAGGGGCCAGAGTATACAAATAGCTCACATAGGAACTTCTTGTCTCTCTGCTTCTTCAGAATTCTCTGCCACATAAAATGAACAGGGACAAGAAATTATTCCTTTTTCTGAGATCCACTTATCTACAACTAATGATAAAAACCATGGGAAAGTAAGTTCTTAGCTTCTGAGAACCCAAAAGAAAGTATTCAAGAATGCCAAGGTCACTCCCCAAAGTAAAGTGATCATAAAAGATTTGCAAAGAGCCCTGGAAACCGAAAAGAAAGCATCATCTTACACTTGTACAAAATCACAGTGCAGCCACACCAGGAATACTGCATTCACTTCTTGCCGCCATACCTCAAGGAAGACAATGTCGCTAGAAAAGGTCCAGAGAAGGACAAATAAAATGACCAAGGGCTCAAAGTGGTTTTTACATGAAAATAAAATTTAAAATTCAACTCAAAAGAGAATAACAAGGGGGGAGGGAAGGGGGTCAGGAATACTGGGATGAAGTGTAGGATAAATTTAAAAGGGTAGTCTTTTATTTTATAAAGCAAAGTAATTAAATGTGAGTTGACTTATTAACCTCCAAAGTTAACACTATCAGGTCAATCAGGAACTAAAGACATTTCAGAAAACTGAATCAAAACCAATTATTTGCTATAATTAGGGGAAGAGAGATCATCTCCCTAAATATCTGATTTCAATAAGAACGTCATTATAATCTCTGAAATGAAAATACTTCATATTCACAGAAGACAGAATATGGGGGGTGGGGGGGGGGGACTGAGAATAGTTAGTATGCCACTGAACTTTTTTAGTAGTTTCTGGGTCACCAACACAGGAGGGAGAGATTCTTACCACCCGGTTCCACAGGGCACCCTGTTTACTTTGCATATCCGGGGTAAGGCGGATATACTGGGTCATCACCATGGCATTGCCCATCAGATTCCACAGGGAGGAACTGCTTGTGCCCACACCTATGGGGAGGAAGTAGATCAGTTCATTCTTTTCAACCCCAACCCACTTGGAAAACCGCCATGGACCCTCTGAAAGCTGGAGTCATCTTTCTTCCCCCTTCATGTCCCACCTCCTGTCACTCAGCAAATCTTAACTTTTTACCACCTTCTTTTCACAACGACTTTCTCAGGTGAAGACCCTAGAGCACATCAGAGCTGTCACTTCATCCACGCCACAGTAATCATAGCTCAAATTCATTCTTCCCCATTTTATACGTGAGTAAATTTTAGCACCGTGAAAGAAAAAAATTTCCCCAGTTATACCAAAAAGAGCTTGACCCTCTGGGGCTCTAAGGCTTAATCACATTCTTTGTTTGAACAAGAAGCTACTTTCCCCCTCACCTCAGACTATCAATCCCTTGCAAGTGAGAACTCTGTTACCCACAGTATTTGCAAGGAGAAGGCCTGGAGACATCCTCTAAGTGAATAAGCGATCACCCTTAGCAGCAAAGTATACCCCCTTTATGCTTCGTGTTTTTGTTTGTATGCTGTCGCCATACCCTCCAGTAGGGAAACACACTCGTGTTAATTAAGCCATCCGCACTTATTTGGTCCTCCTTGTAGCTAACCATGTAAATCTGCTGGTTGATAAGTTGTGCCTAGTGGCCTATGTACACTAAACACAGCAAAACTAACCAGCCTCTTTCATCGATAGGGCTCCTGGACTGGAGAAGAACAGGTGTCTCAATTGACAACAGAATTTTATCTTCTCAGTGCGGCCAAGTTCTACCCCAGTTCTGCCTCATGCTTTATTTCTAGCACATCCACAGCTCCATCAGGAGCTCAGCTCACTGCTAGTGGCCCTCAATCACGGTCCACCGTTCGCAGTTCTCTGCCCTGCCCACATTCCACCTGTCCATCTCTAACTCCCCTTCATCCACGCCGGGCGCTGGTAGCATCCGAGAACCCTGCTTCGACCTGCTGGAAACTTCCAGGACTAATTCCGAGGGGTGGGGAGACAGAAAGCTGACCCCTGCCCTCTGGGTCCGTGGCTCCCGAACACAGCGAGAGTCCCCAGCAGCTCCCACCCGCCGCCGCCAGCTTGCTCGGGGTCACGAAACCCTTCGCCGCCCCCGCCTCTACGGACAAGGTCAGGTCCCGAAGCCCTCCCGGTGCACGACCACCTCGCCCCCGGCGCCTCACCCTGGTAGGGCTTCGACAGCGAGTGCTCCCGTTTCAAGTACTCGAACGTTTGACCCGCCCCGACTTGCCGTGGCCCCTGCCCAGACCCCAGCAAAAGGAGAAGGAGCAACATCCTGGAAACTTCCCGTGCCGACAAACGCCGCCGCCACCGCCGCCACCACCCAGAGGGTGCCAGGGCCACCGCCATCTTTCCCACCGCCATCCCTTCACTAAAGGCCCGCCCCGTCGTCCAAGCCATTGGTCCGTGGGACCATCTGCTTCACGTCCTATTGGCTCTCATATAATCCCCGCCCCCGCAGGTGAGACTTTCACCGATTGGCTGGCTTGAGTACCAGTTGCCTTGCCAACCCGCCTGGACTCGCTTACGTTTTTGCATTTATCCTGAGCGCCACTAGGCCTTCTGGCATACATGGTGATCTTCATTTTGTATCTGCGTTCTGGAGTAAATTTAAAGAGATAAAATGTTTCTTCCAGTCCCCACGCAAACCTTCTAGCCTCACTGCTACTCACTCACTCACTCACTCCTGACTATACAGAGCTACCAATCAAGAGGCTATAAAACTGAAAGGAGAAATAGAGAAATTAACAACTCAAGTAGCTGGAAAATTATCAAATTTATAAGAGGCTTGAAGAGTACTTATCAAACAACTTGACCTGATGACATTCATAAAACCAGCCAACAATGGAAGAAGACATATTCTCTTTTGTGAAAAAGAAACATTTACTAAGATAATCTGAGCCAAAAAAACTCCAAACCTCTGCAAATTTAAAAGAATTGAAAGCACACAAAGAATATTCTCCTATCGTGATGGTATTACACTAGAAATCTGTAACAGAAAGATTTCTGAGAAATCCCCAAATGTTTGGAAAGTAAACTCACTTCTAAATAATCTGTGAGAGAGTAGCAGGCTCTGGGGGACTTCAGCAGGTCCTCTGAAAAAGGAAACAGAATAATCAATCCTTTACCTGTTAGTATAATCATATCTCCAGCCCTGAAGCCAAAAAACTGAGATTCATCCTAGCTTCCATTCTCTTCCTCACCAATTCCATTACCCAACCAATAAATAACTGATGGTTTTAGTCTTAATTATTTCTCAGAGCCACCACAGCCTTTTCATCCCTCCCTTTGTCTTTCTGCTGAACAACAGCAACAAGTGTCCCAACTGTTGTTCTGGCCACCATCATCAACGTGGCCATCCAAGTGATCTAAACCATGTAGCCATGCTCTTTTCCTGAGTGTCAGGGTTAAGCCAGTTTGTATTTATAAAGTTGTTAGAGTAGTTTCTGGCATGCTGTAAGCACTGCTTCTATTTAGTCCCTAAGTCTTGTCCCACTCTTTGCAACCCCATGGACTGCAGCACGCCAGGTTTCCCTCTCCTTCACTGCCTCCCAGAGTTTGCTCAAACTCATGTCTATTGAGTTGGCAATGCTATCTCACCATCTCATCCTCTGCCACCTTCTTCTCCTTTTGTCTTCAATCTTTCCCAGCATCAGGGTCTCTTTCAGTGAGTGGGCTCTTTACATCAGGTGGCCAAAGTGCTGAAGCTTCAGCTTCAGCATCAGTCCTTCCAATGAATATTCAGGTTGGATTTCCTTTAGGGCTGACTGGTTTCATCTCCCTGCAGTCCAAGTATCAGCATTATTAACAGAGCCCATGATGATTCCCAGGTGGCGCTAGTGATAAAGAATCTGCCTGCCAATGCAGGAGATGCAAGAGATGCAAGTTCAATCCCTGGGTTGATAAGTTCCCTTGGAGGAGGAAAATTGCAACTCACTCCAGCATTCTTTTCCCTGAAAAATTCCATGGACAAGAGGAGCCTGGCAGGCTACAGTTCATGGGATCAAAAAGAACCCACACACAAATGAGGGTTCACCATCACCTGTGAGGAACAGATTCGGACCCCTCAACTTAGCACACTAAGCCCTCTGGTATCTGACCCACAGTCCCCTTCCTTCATCTACGTGCTCCAGTTTCCCTGTTCCCTCTTCTTTTCCCCAGTCCACTTCCTCTGAAAGTCTTCCCTGACTCCCTCAGGCACTCTGAGCTTTCAGTGTTCCAATAACATTTCTTACAGAGCATTTGCTTGTTTTCCTGATAGACTTAATCAAAGTTAAATCTTTCTTTCTTGAGCATAAATATATGTTATAGGAGATACATGACTATGAGGGCTTCCTATGTGGCTCAGTGGTAAAGAATCCACCTATACCAATGCAGGAGCTGCAGGAGACTTGGATTCAATCCTTAGATTAGGAAGAGCCTCTGGAGTAGGGAGTTGCAACCCACCTCGGAAGGGAATGGTTACCCACTCCAGTATTCTGGCCTGGAGAATTTAATGAACTGTATAGTCCAAGGGGTCGCAAAGAGTCAGACACGACTGAGCAACTTGCACTTTCACTTCACTTTTCAGTATTCTTGTCAAGATAATCCCCTGGACAGAGAAGCCTGGCGGGCTATAGTCATGGGATCGAAAAGATTCAGACATGACTGAGGTGATCGAGCACACAAACACACATGAATAAGAGCCTGTTTTATGCAGGATCAACTTTTTAAAATTAAAGTTGTCACAGCCATGGACCTTTAACACACTCCACACAAAGCAGATGACTGGGTGATAAAACCTTAGGAATTGAATGAATCTATTTGTGTCATATCCTGGCTTTAAAATCATTCATGCTTCCAATTACTAGGAGTTAAAATTCAAACTCCCTAGTGTTTGAAGGCCCTACTCAGCCTGCAGCAAGCAGGCTACATGTGTCTATTACAATGTGTGTCATCCTGAATTACAGAGCTCAATTAGCAGAGTATGTGTTTGTTGCCCCAGCAAGTCTGGGTGCTCCTGGACCACAGGGAACATATCTTACTCATTTCCTATCCCAGGCCCCACCCACTTCCTGACTCTTTAACCCATCACCCAGCACATAGTAGGGATTTTAATTATTTTTAGTAAAACAATGTCCATTGTATTTCTCTGTCAGCTGGAATTTTTTTTATGGTGGTAAAATAGACAAAAAATAAGATTTTCCATTTTAACCATCGTTAAGTATATGGTTCAGCGGCATTAAGTACATTCACATTGTTAGGCAGCCTGTAGGCTGGATTTTTTGTAGATTATGTCAGGAGATCTCTCAATATAAAATTCAATGCAATGAATAAAAAGGGAATAAAAGAAGGGTGTGAAAGACAAAATGCACAGGACCATAAATCAGACTGTTGCAAAAAGGAGAATGCTCACTAGTGAGGAATGTATCATAGGAAAAGAGGGAGACCTGGGGTTTTATAGGGGCAGGTAAACAAGGAGCCATCACGATGAAGGCTGGGGAGAATCTTATCTGAGTCAGCGAGGAAGTGTGGAAGTGAGTCTTATCTTGGAATATTCTGTAACAGAATATTCTGTAACTAGCCTCCTTTAAGGTTAGTCATTTTCAGAACTCAAAATGGGGTGGGAGGGGACACAAAACCAGGGAAGCATTTTTTGACTGTTACAGGGTTCAGACGGAGTTCGACATGTTCAGGTGTGGAAGGGAGGTGGAGGGAAGGAGAAAAAGGAGCCCTGTCCCCCTCCAGCATGGCCCTACACACACAGACGCAACTTCTGAAAGCTGGGTCAGATCTTGACCTACCACTCTTTTGTGTTAAGTCACTTCAGTCATGTCCAATTCTTCGTGACCCTATGGACTGCAGCCTGCCAGGCTCCTCTGTCCATGAGATTTCCCAGGCAAGAATACTGGAGAAGTTTGCCACTTCCTTCTCCAGGGGATCTTCCCAACTCAGGGATCAAACCCACATCTCTTGTGTCTCCTGCATTGGCAGGCAGGTTCTTTACCACTAACACCACCCTTTCAGCTGCCTGATATTCCTCTTTTCTCCACGGAATCATGACCTGGGGTTGCACATCTCCAAGGAGGGGGCATTCATGTACAAAGTGAACTGTGCATTCTGGAGTTCTGGATAATTCCTAGCTTCCTGTCTTCAAAATCAGACAGGCACCTCCACTCAGGAGCACCTGGAAGCCTGATGCTCCCCTACTCCAAGAAAGAGGCTCCAGGTAGAAGCTTGGCCCCATCCTTTCTTCTCTCTCCCATCTTTCAATTCTTTTTTTTTTTTCAATGAAGTATAGTTGATTCACAATATTGTGTTAGTACCACCCTTCAGTTCTAAACCTTGACACTCCATTTAAATCTCACCCAAGTCTAGGACACAGAGCAAGGTTTAACATCAGGCCTTCTATTCTTCCAAGTAGACCATTCCTTGATCCTCAGAAATCCAGGTTGAGCCTTGTGGTTGGGCTCATCTTCAGCCCCATAGTTATATCTGACCTGGCTCGACCCCCCCGCATTCCCAGCAGGCTCTGGAGGACAGAAGTGGACAGTAGCTCGAACACTAACCAGTGGCAATGCATAAATTCTGACTTCCCAACAAGTCACAATTTTAAATAGCCTGGAGTGCTTTTGCCATGTACAGTTGCCTGAGACTCGCTCCCAGACACCTGATTCGTAAGTCTGGGGAATGGCCTAGGGATTTGGTTTCAAAAATCGCCCCTCAGAGAATCTGCCCCAAGCCAATTTCCAGACCCACAGCCCTCTCCAGGCTCTCTTTTCAACATCACAAGGACTTGGTGTGGTGGGCAAGGCAGCCACTGCTTCACTTTCAGGTGACGACATTTGTTCTCAGTTGACAGAGTAAATTTCAAGCAGCTTACAGCACCTGAATTTAGAGATAAGAATCAGTTATTGTTCAGTCACTCAGTTCTGTCTGACTATTTGCAACCCCCGACTGCAGCACGCCAGGCTTCCCTGTCCTTCACCATCTCCCAGAGCTTGCTCAAACTCATGTCCATTGATCCAGTGATGCCATCCAACCATCTCATCCTCTGTTGTCCCCTTCTCCTCCTGCCTTCAATCTTTCCCAGCATCAGGGTCTTTTCCAATGAGTTGGCTCTTTGCATCAGGTGGCCAAAGTATTGAAGCTTCAGCTTAGCATCAATCCTGCCAGTGAATATTCAGGACTGATTTCCTTTAGGATTGACTGGTTTGATCTCCTTGCAATCCATGGGACTCTCAAGAGTCTTCTTCAATAACACAGTTCAAAAGCATCAATTCTTTCTTTATGGTCCAGCTCTCACATCCATACAAAACTACTGGAAAAACCATAGCTTTGACTATACATGCCTTTGTTGTCAAAGTCATGTCTCTGCTTTTTAATATGCTGTCTAGGTTGGTCATTAGCTTTTCT